TGCATTTATGAAAAATTTTTATTCTCGAAAAACTATATGACTTGATGTGCAAAAATATAAGAAAAGCTATCTTTTTAATCTATTAATACAAATACGAATTTGCATAAAGATCTGTGGTCTAGTTATAACAAAGTAGATCTCAGGTAAATAGCTTTACAGTTGACACTCCCACGCGGCGATTCCATTCGTGTAAACAACTATATGTATACACAGAGTGACCCGGATAAAGTGTTATAAACTGCTTTCCTGGAAACTAATCAAAATATCGACGATTTTTTTTAATTACACCGTTCAGGGGGACTAATTTTTTGGTGCGCGATAAACTGAGTAAAATTTATTTCAACCATTTTCCTAAATTATGCATAGATAAAGAGTAACAACGAAAAATCTGTTTTGTAGAAGAAGGGAACGAAAAACCTAGCAAATACTGAGATTTGATGTCCATTTCTTTGTGAAATTTAAAATAAATGTGTTTTTTAATAACATTTATATTTAAAATCTACAAACAGTTTGTACGTCGAAGTAAACTTTGCCACATACGTTCGTGGCGTACTATCATCGGCATTAACTACTTCAATTATGAATACTAACAACCTGCCGCGTAAAAAAAAACAGCGAAACGCGATACTGCGAATGCAAATTTCGACGCCGAGTCCTTGTCGAGTAAAATTCGTGACCGTGAGAACGTGAGTTTGTATTTTCAGTGTCCCCCCGTTTGTATAAAAGATCACGAAACGGAACGCCTTCGTGGGAGATTGCTGCGAGGAATTCTCTTTTTCCACGGATGCTGCACAAAAGGGCGATCACAACGCTGTGTTTAGACGGTCGACGGTTTTGTTGTGCGCTAAATTGCCGTATCGCGTTGTCATCGCAACCGAGAATCACGATTCATCGAGTTCAACGCGTTCCTTTAAGGATATGCTGAGTCAATATCTGTGGAGATCGAAAGTGTGCGATATTACGGGGAAACGATGATGAATACGTAATAAAGAAATTGATACAACGTGCAATTTACTTATTATCTGAGTGAACCCTTTCGCCCTTCGATTTTAATTTACTTTTGCAAGATCGTCGATTCCCATAACTCGATAATTGAATAGTTATAAGGCATCGATAATTACAGCTGCAATATATGTATACCGCGATTATCAATCTCTGTCATCGAAGTGGCCGTGGCACATATGGTATAAGCAAGATGTTAGAACGAACGTATATGGTTTCCAATCGTAGTCGTACATACATTAAAATCGTAGAAACGTTATAGAAACATTATCGAATAAATTTTTGTATTATTTAATCCATGATTACTGATTTATCCAAGTAATCGATCCCTGTCGAATGTCCAAGTTCTCGCGTGCGGAAATTCCGTGGTCGCGTTTCTTAAGCATGCTCGTCGAACGCCCATGGGCGTTCGTAGCACGCGTCGTACCGACATCGTTCGCGCTTAGAAACGTCCACGACGACTGACGGATTAATATTTCAGTTGTCTCGCGGTCGTTACGTTCCGGACACTTTTTCGCCGGTCGTGTTGCGAGAAATCTTGAAAGAAATCTTCGTTGACCTTTCAGATAAAATCTGACGGCAACGCGGAATAGAGGTAGCCTCCGCGATGGTACCCTCAGTCTTCCCGCGACGGGGCACGAAGAAGCAAGGAGAACGACCTATTCCAAGACGTTTTGCTTCTCTGTGTTAAGAGAAAGGGAACTAAGAACGAGCGAGCGAAGTCTACCGATCACGTTCCACGAACCGATCGTGCGAGCAACAGTTTCGAACGGGGTTAGCTTACCTTTAAACGTAAAGGCGCGATCGGGACTCGGTTTCGCATTTCGATCTGTTGCGCAACATAAATTCAATGCTTCCTTGCATTCGAAACTAATTAAAGTCCCATACTCCCGGTACACTTGTTTCATTATAATTTTCCAGCGCGTAAATCGATTTCTGGTAAACGGAGCGCAAAATGAGGAAACTTCCGTGAAAAACAATATCCAATTTTGCAGTACTTTAAAATGAATAATAAAGTTGCCCAGTTCCAGCCAGCGCCATGATTTAAATATGAATGGCGGTAAATTGAGATGAATAGGGCACCGTGTCTAAGATGTCCTGATCAATATATTCACTCTACACTCATCGTATAGACGATGGTCGTCCCTGACTTTACGCGAGCCCACACACTTGGCGTCAATCACGAATACCATTATACTCGTCCACTCTCTTATCCCTTCAATTATCGCTAACCTTACGCGTACGATTTTCTCACGATTAATATCACGACGCTCGAACGAACAATTACATCGTCCCGGAGCGAATGTAGATCTCGAGGATGAACTTGTTACTTCTGTAGTCGTTATCGTACACGGTGATTATATAAACTGGGTTATAGCTTCGTTCTAGGCAAAAATGAAGAAAATATTATTATTACTTGTTCTTAAGTTTGAAAGATATGATTTTTATTTTGTTGCGGTGTTATTCGATTTACCTGTTCGATAATGATATCAATACGACACTGTTTCGATACAAACGATATTAAATGTTGAAGGAACGACAAAAACTACAACACGACCTCGGTCAACCCTCGCAATTCACCTGACCCGGGCAATAAATCAGCCAAGATGGAGAGCTACTGCGCGGCCTTAAAGGGGCAGGTTCGAGCTGTATTAAACACCATTCTCGCATAGAGCGTATTTTCTCACATTTCTGGTCTGCTCCCCGCATATAACTTCAACCAGTTATCTAAAACTTTTACCATAAGCAGGAATTACCACAAAATGATCGGCGGACCAACCGCAGAATTATTTAGAATGTTTAACTTCAGTTTTCGCGACGATGTTTATTGCAATTTAACGTCGCTTTCTAAACGAGGTTTCTACATTGACTATGTTTAATTTAACGTAAACGAAACTCTCGTTTCAGGTGCATTAATTCCACCGATTCTTCGATCCAAGGAGACATTTATACGCCAGGGACCAGCACTATTCTCCAAACCTAGACAAGTTTAAAAAAACGTTACTTGAAATACTATTTAGAAAATAATAATTGTCTAAAACTGTTAAAAACTGTTGAGTACCATTATCAACTTGTTGATTCGATTATTTTTTATTTAGTAATCGTACGAGTGGCATACACGATCATCATAATTGTTATTCAACGAACAGATTGCATTGTGCCCAACACTGTCAAAGACTATACCGATACGGCCAATGTTTCACGTTCATAGACGCCAAACTTTTCTACGCGACAGAGTTTTGTTGAAAGGCAATACGTTTGCACACAACAAACGTTATCGCGCTTGTCAAGCCAGCTCGAACAGCTATAATCGCGCTACCTGGTTTGAAAACAGAATTTAGGTCTTCAGTCACCTTCTTTTCTAACGACAGTTATTGATTTTTGTTTTAAAGAGGAATCTGTTTGTTTCGAACTTCACCGCCATTTATACCAAACTCGAACGTTTCATCCATTCTGTTTACGAAACGGAAAACCATAAACGTTGCTAGAAGCAAACTAATATCGATTAACGTATGGTATAAGTGTCCAGATATACCGAAGACCTGAAAACATAGATGGGATTCAAATTTACGTAACATCATAACGAGATATGAATTTCGAAATTCAACTAGAACGACCGTTACTATTTTAATTTAACCGTCCTAACGGCGACTTTCTTTCCCATGAGAGGGAAATCAGGTAAATGTACCTGTACGCTTTAATGCTCTTTTAAATAGAGTTATGTATGCCTATGAATATTGCGAATCACTTGCAGATAAGTTCAAAGAAGCGGGCACCTTTCGTGAAAGTTGTTCCTAGATCTAGTCTGAGAAAGATACCTTCACTCGTAGCCAATGATGTATACATCTTCTACTAATTGAACCAATATATTGTCTATCCCATTATTTTCTCAAACAATTAACTATGCATTCTGCGCTGTACAGAGAATAAGAAAGTTTTACTCGATTTTGCGTAATTACATACAGGGGGTTCCATAAAACTCGGACGAGCTGAACGTAAAAACATTTTAAAATATGAAGAAGAGAGTCGAACTGAAATCGAACGATTTTAAATGTCCTGACTTTTTATCTCCCACGTAACGATCAAGTGCAGTGACACTCTTTTTTTAAACGAAACTATAATAATTATTTCTCGATAAAAGATAAATATTTTGCGAAATATTACGAACATTTCATTCGCGAAGAATATCATGTCCGACCGTTACATGCAAATTTTCTAAACCGCTTGTTTACATATGTCATTTGAAATATCTCGTGAAGCATTCGTTATCCTACCACTAATACTTTTACACGCGGAATAATAAGATATATCGATATATTAAAAAACTAAATACAACCCTGTTCGAGTCCAGTGAGACACCTCAAATTCGAAATAACTGGAGCATAGACGCGCATATTCGCGTGCACGAATTATTCGAAGCTCATAAATTGAAACAGGAACGCGCTATCATGAACAACCTGAAAATCGATAGAGGCTCGTTAAATCTACTTACACCAGACGTTTACTCCGAAACGACCACCGACTCTGTGCAACATTAACAGAAAGCTCGCAAGAAAACGTAAGAACGTTGTCTCTCGGGACCATTTGTGTTTACATCAAGTGTTTTTCGAGACAGCTGCCTGAGAATCTGCCCTAATCGTCCGTCCAATCGTAGAGCGGATACTCTTTCCTTTGAAATTTGAAATGTAACACAGGATGACATTACGCGACCTAAACCAGGCTACGTAGTCACGAAACAACAGATTTTTCACACACGATCGACCAATAGCTTTTTCACGATGTCACAAATTCGTTCCTCGCGCGTTACTTTACGATGTTTTTTTTCATGGAGACATCACGGTTCTCCGGTCCGTGGCGGAACGAGCCAACAGTTCCATGAAACGGCGGTTACAAATGTCAACAGACAAACTCGTCGCGCTAAACCAGTTGTCACAGTGGAACTAGATCCGTGCAAAGCGATGCACCTGCCCGCGAGGAGAATCTAGTGTTGCCCATACCTTGCTGTACAACTCCCTCGTAGTCATCGTTGTTGGTCCAGGCGGTCCACCTGGGTCAGGTCAGGTACGAGCGGAGGTGAGCAGCACCCACGGTCACACGCGTGTCTTCGAGCACACTCGCACACACCAGGAGCACAGATAACGACTACCTACGACGGCCGTTCGAACGTGAATCGTACGTGCTATGAGCACCGCGGATTTTCTACGGTCTTACAGTACATCTTGGTGTCACTCGAAGTACGGTCACGGCATGTTTATGTTTTTATTTTTTTTTTTTTTTTTCGCCCCCCCTTTTAGTCTTGTTTTTCGCCTCGTCCCGATCGAGAGTCGCCCGTGGATCGATGGTCGACGAATCCTCCTGTTCCTCTCCGCGTACAACCGTCCGTCTCTGTCGTTTTTCGGGACCCGACCGTACGAATCATCGACCGTGTGCCACGGGAAAATGGATTTTCGCGAAGGTCGTACCTCCACGTAAACGTCGCACGACGACAGTGCCACCAGCTGGTTCGTTATCGGGCTTAGATTCGGCGCCCCTCTACGTCGCCTCGCTCGACCACTCGTTCGGGCTCGAGAGAGCCGAAGGCGCTCTTTCTCTTCCTACTCGCGCACGAGCACTGACGCTCGCGTTATCTCCCTCCAATGATCGAACTACGAGTTTCACGCCATCTCACAGAGGAATCGGAAAACGGAGGCGGTTTCAGCGATTTTTGCGTGGCATTATTTAAATCGGGAGACAACCACTTTCTGTCCCCTATGTATCTTCCGAGTTTCTCCCTTTTCGCAACAAAGGTTATCGTTTTCTTATTATCGATTGTAATCGATCGCGTTACCTACGCTCGAGTTCGATATTTTCTGGTAAGGACGAGAAATTTAGATCACTTTATCGGCGTTGTTTCTTGCTTTGAATCTTTCCCCGATCGCTATTACTACTAGCATTGCTAAAATATATTGTTCAACACGTTCGAAAAACGCCGGAGGAGACATTGTTATCAGCGTTATAAGGCGACTTCAAAATTCAACGTATTTATCGTTTGCTCCTTCGATATGTTATCGGCACTATCGATAACGAATTACAAATTATGAATATCTCGAAACGAGTTACAGAAAATAACGACGTGCGTATGTTTCAACGGATTCTTTCGAATTCTGTTGTCGAATAGAGAATGTCAAGTTTTGCTTACAGTGACCTGTTAACCATAGAGTCGACGATGAATATTTAAACAAGCCGCAAAGGGAAACTAATTTCAGTTGTAACTAGCAGTATGATATATTAGCGACAGACGGGTAGTCGGATCATGGCATTTTTCCAATTAGTCCTGAAAGCCAGGAAGATCGAAAAAGCGAGGTTAAAGTACGAGAATGAAAAATTGACGTCGATCGAGATCGCGGGGGGTGCCAAGCCCCAATACACTTTGAGACAGCGACTTCGTCTAACGAAATTGCGGTGAGATCCGAGAAAATCGCGCTCCTGCCAAGCTACACCAAAAACTTTCGTCACGTTCCTGTTTCAATAATGTTTATACAACTTCTGCAGCTTCAAGAAGAAGGTGAAATCGTTCTGTGGCAAGATCTTTGCCTTCCCAAAAAATCTTTGGCCCTGCAGAAAGATCGCCGCGATCGGTACCGACGGCACTCTGGAGAATTACATCGCGAAAAGTTTCGCTGGATTTATCGGCGGGATAATCCTCACTTACATATTCTTCGCATTTTTCGTCCTTCAACTGAATTTCAAACTTTCGTCGGCAACGTTCCTTTGCACGGTAATAGGAGTAACCCTCACGCTTGGACTGGCATTTTCTTATCGAGTACGGTGAGCCACAAATTGATCTGAATATTTAATTTTATATAAAGTATTTGTATATTTCCTAATTCCAGTTTAATTATATTATCAAAACCCTCGATATTTTTTATTCAAAACAGTGTTCTTATAGAGAGGGTTGATTGAAAATTTAATTTTATATAAACGTACGGTGAATGTAAAAAGTATTTGTATATTTCCTAATTCCAGTTTAATTATATTATCGAAACACTTGATATTTTTTATTCAAAACAGTGGTGTCCTTATAAAGAGGGTTGATTGAAAATTTAATTTTATATAAACGTACAGTGAATGTAAAAAGTATTTGTATATTTCTTAATTCCAGTTTAATTATATTATCAAAACCCTCGATATTTTTTATTCAAAACAGTGTCCTTATAGAGAGGGTTGATTGCAAATTTGTAGAATCGTATCACGATTATCCTCGCGGCCCGTATATCCCATCATTCGACTTCCCTGCCTCGTTCCAAGCGTTTACCTGCATTTTACACTTTTTCTTCCAGTTGCGTGGTGTTCCTGTTATTACCACAATTTTTCTCGAAGCGAGGTAGACAAGCCTTAATGGCGTACGCATTTATTTTAGCCTTAACCGGACCGGTCAAGAACACTTTGCACAACACCAGCGTTCTCTCGGAATCACTGGCCTGTGCACAAGTACGGCTATATAATTCTTTGTCGTTAAAATCCGTCATTTACGATCATCGAACGTATCGTCCATAACGAATTTCCTTACTTATTACATGTATATAAAACATATGTAAGCTACGTGCTCGGTGATGCGATATACGAAGAAACTATTTTCTTTTCTAGGAACAGTTAAAGGAAGCGGTAAAGACTATCGTGGACTTGGCGAAGCAACCGTATTACGCTCTGCGGGACGTGATATCGAAAGTCATAAAGTCCGTTAAAGCGATTGTGAAAAGAATTAAACAGACCCTCATTGCAATCAAAAGGATTGTCCTCAGTATACGTATGTGTAAACTCGATACAGTTTCAAGTTTTTCAATATCTCTAAAGAGATTTGATTGAAAATCATTGTCTTTCAGTCAGAGTCATTACGTCTGTATTCCAGTGGTTGGGAAGCGTCATAAACATGTGCAATAAGAAATTAGGTACCCCTTTCGATAGATGTCAAAGCGTCTTCGATGGCGCGGTTGCAGACTGCAAGGCGAAATTGGGCCCGATTATGGGGGCAGTTTGCAACGTGACCTACGTAGTCAGTGCTCTTTGTTACGTGGTGAAACCATTAGATTTCATATGCATGCTGGTCTCTTACATATCTGACGCTGTAGTTGGTGCCGTACGAAAAAGTAAATCTACTTAATCTGCTTAAAATTTTTAACCAATGATCCCTGTTCGAATTATATTTGTTACGACTTGCAGAGATAAAAAGGTTCACGATGCACATGAAGGCGATGTTTTACGTTAAAGTCAAGTTCTCTCATTCTTTCCGTTTCGAGACGAACCAAAGCAAGACGTTGGAAGAGGTGTCCACGGGTATTATTACCGAGGTACGCTCGAGGACGGACAAATTTTTCGATTTCTTCGATTGGATAAGCTGCGTTACATCCATCTTCGTCTTTATTATCCTTCTCAGGTAAACGAACGCTATCATTCGGTAATTGTGACTAACAACTGATACGTAATCGTGATTAACTGAAATATCTTTATGTCAAATCATGCGTGATTGTTCTGGCTAATGGTTGATCATAATTTTGGTCATTATTCAATTCTCTTTAAAAGTGAAAATAATTTCACTTTGGATACTTGATATAAAATATTTTTAGAGTAATACATTATCGTTACAAATGGCTGACCAGCGAACGGTTCGACAATCGCTATATTACCAGCGATTTGCGCACCATCGATTTAATAAGAGCACGCCAGGACAAGGAAACGGTTTTGCCGCTCAATTCGCGTGAAAAGAATCGTTACGTGCCGCTGTCGTCCGTCATGTTAATCAAATCAGAGAAACTTAAATTGGCAAGATCGGCGGTATTCTTGGGCATGGCCACGATCAAGATCATGTCCTACATCGCGATAGATTACAGTTTATACTGGGTACTGAATATCATTCAGATCCACGGACGATTTCAAAGTAAGGTAAATTATGTGTCTCGATTCGACTTTGGAAGTTTCTTTTCTCTATACAGAAACACGATAACGATCCACAGGTCGAACAGCCAAGCGTAGTGACCATTCACGTTTCCGGTGACGGTTACTTGGCAGATCTCTACAGAAGCATCGTCAGAGCGTTCACACCACGCGGAAAGGAAACGGAACTGGACACGATGCTCTGCCTGCCAGAACCAGTGCCACCCGATCTGGATAAATACACTCAAATCATCGGATTGCTGATCCTCTGCTGGCTAATTGCAGTCTTCGAGCCGTACGGTTTGCGACTGAGACACGTGGTTCTGTGCCAATATTATCCCGACAGAGCGAAACAAAGAGCAACCTGGCTGTACAATCACATTATCAGGTATTGAAGGAAACAATGGTCAGTTTTCAAAGGAGCTTGTTGACTATATTAGGTCAGAACGTTCTGGTCAATTTGTGACGCTGCTTCTGCTGGTGGAGGAAGTGAAAAACGACGACGGGATATTGTGTAGTCGATCGAGGAAAAATTTTAATGAGAGATTCTAGAGGGCAAAATAAGTCAAAAATCAAGAATATCAATTTCTTGATCGAGGCTTCGTTAAAAAATTATTAAAAAATTTCAAATCATTCTGGAAAAATTATTCTCGGTTGCAGGGATTAATTACAATCATTTTTGGTCAATAAACATACCTCCGAAATCCTACGCACTTTCGAGAAAAAAATTCGAGAAGGTGTAAAATTTTTCGGCGGAATAAAAAATTTCAAATCGTTTTGGAAAAATTATTTTTGTTTGCAGGGGTTAATTACAATCATTTTTGGTCAATAGACATACCCCCATAATCCTACGCACTTTCGAGAAAAAAATTCGAGAAGGTGTGAAATTTTTCGGCAAAAAAAAAATTTCAAATTGTTCTGGAAAAATTATTTTTGGTTGCAGGAGTTAATTACAATCATTTTTGGTCAATAGACATACCCCCGAAATCCTACGCACTTTCGAGAAAAAAATTCGAGAAGGTGTGAAATTTTTCGGCAAAAAAAAAATTTCAAATCGTTTTGGAAAAATTATTTTTGGTTGCAGGGGTTAATTACAATCATTTTTGGTCAATAGACATACCATCGAAATTCTACGCACTTTCGAGAAAAAAATTCGACAAGAAAGGGATGATCCTCGATGAAGGAATTAAACAAATGTTGAAACTGTGGAGATATATTTAAGTTTAATTATATAATTATTTAAACGGTTTTTTTTCAAACGCGACTAGGTCGAGAGGAAGCTTTTTGAAGTTCGCCAGGCGTCAGCTACGCCGGAAGTTTGGCCTAGGCAAGGGAGAAGCAATCGAGAAAATCACATTCAAGGAGAGATTGTGGGCGGTGTGTCCGTGGTTGAACATCTTCTTTCCACAAAAGCAGAATGCGTGTTTATTATGCGGCGAAGTGGAACGTTCCGACGACGATCCACACATAAAATGTCCGACGCCCGGCTGCGTTGGTCTGTTTTGCACGCAGTGTTTCGCGGATTTGCAGAACTTGTGCACGATTTGTCGTTCGCCGATCGAGTACGGTGACTTGTCCGACATGAGCGAGGAGAAGTAAGTGAAATCGCTGACGAGGAATTTTATAAAATTCGAAGAAGCTTTCTTAATCGTTTGTTTTGCATTTGATTTTTACATCAGAGATTCTTCGGACGATCAGTTCCCAGTGACAAAGGAAAAAGTAGTGGAACCTGAAGTTAAAGTCGAGGAGCCAAAAGTGGACGAAAGTGTAGAAGAAGAAGTGGAACCTGAAGTTAAAGTTGAGAAGCCAAAAGTGGTCGAGAAGACAGAAGAAGAAAAGGTAGCTAAGATAGAAAAGGATGTGGCTCAGCAAACGGACGACAAACGCGTCGAAGATTCCGATCAGAGTTCCGGGACTAGTTACAGTTATAGTGAGTACTCGATGCAGAAGTTTGAACAACTTCCAAGAGAATAAAACAACGATACTAAAGTTTTATTACTTATTATATAAACGTTTCAGCGTATCAGGACGTGTCTCCGAGAGAAGTGGAGATCGAGAAACGAAAAGAGACGTTCAAAGACGTCGAGGCGCAAAGAATCAGAGACGACGTGACGATTCAAGTAGACTTAAACGAAATTACGTGCAATTTCATTTCATCCGAATTCCAAGGGGCTCATCGATCGCGTGATTTCCGATCCAGATATTTAACGAACCGTTCGCGAAAGGAACATCCTCGAGCAGCGAGTCGCCAACGTCTTGTTTCGTGGTAAGGGCACGTAGGAACGTTCGTGCCAGATTGAAAAAGCGACCGTGGCGTTCGCCACCCGGCGGGAGAAATTCCGATTCATCAACCTCGATCGCCGACACGGAATCCTGGTCGACCGAGGAAATCGACGAGGAAGAAGTAATACACGTGGAGGTAGACGACTGCTCGGAAGAATTACTTCCGAAGGATCGAAAGGATAAGGGGAAACGAGGTCGTATAAATAGAATCGTCGATGCAGTCGCGAGGATTCCTTGGCTCCGTAAAGCTGAAGTACGAATCGTTCTGAGTCCTCGTAATTCAACGATATCACCGATCCCTTCGTAATTCTTCGTCGAAACTCGTCAAAGAGGGGCGTAACATCAACGCTCGTGTATAATTATATTCGTTCGATGAACAGGACGATAAGAAAGCGTGCCGGGGATTGCAAACGAGACGGCCTTCTCTTATGAATAAAATCGTCTGCATGCTTCGGAGGAAGCAATCAATACCGGTGCAGTCGTATAAAAGAACTAGGAAGATAAAGGATTCCTCGTCGAGCTCGTCTTCGTGCCACGACGAGAACGAGACCTTGCTGAAAATGGAGGATAGATCGTCCGATACCAGACGCCTGACAATGAGGAAATTCAGGAAGGAAACCGCGGAGGATGATTCGAGCGAAATGGAAAATTTAAATCTGAAACGGCCTCGCGAAAAGAAATTCATCGCGAAGCAATTGCCGAGGTAGCTTCGTAAACTTAAGCGAGATAACCGGGGCAAAAAGTAAGAACGTTGTTGCAATTTATCCATGAGCTCGGTAGTTATTTTTTTTATTTCGATTAAAATAAAATTTCATTCTTCGAAAAGAGAAATACAAAATTCAGTAATTTCAATAAAACGAAAGCAAGTAGAAGATTTCCTAGTTCTTAATATCTAGTCATTAACGAAACCACGATGAACCAGGTATTTGGAATCGGCTGCGAAATGCACGTCTTATTACGAAGTGGACGAAACACGAGGGTCAAGAACGGCGCAAAAATGCGTCCGGCAAGTGGAAGATGTCAACGAATTGTCAGGCATGAGAGCATCCTCGAGCTCCATAGATAGAAAGACATTGAATATAACGAAGGACGACGAATTTGTGGTAATACATCGAACGTTTATTTTATTCGATTATAACAGCGGAAATTATAGCGTTTAATCGAGGATTTGCCAGTGATCTATTCAGTAAGAATAATTCTAGCAGATCATACTAATTAGGAACAGTAGTGCAGAGCCTTTACGTCAAACGACAAGAAAGATCTTCGCAACAGCCATCTAGTGGCTGAAAGAGGAAATGTTAAAAGTGAAATTAGTCTTTGAAATATTTGATTTTGAAAAATTCAGGATGTTCCCTGTTTAATCTTGTTTACAAGATTTTAGCAATTTGTTCGATAATTTTTAATCGTGAACTCAGCTGATATTTTTTACTGCTCGGCTGGTATTGTACCGAACTGTCTGCGCACAACACGCGGTAACTCTGTTTTCCTCAATGGGAGATTAACAAATCGACACTGCGTCAATTTATATTGTTTCTTAGTTTCAATTCCACTAGCCTCTCATTTATGTAGCTATTTAAAAATATTCGTACGAAACAAAGTCCATTACTGAAACAGATATCACACATTATGCAACAATATCAATCTTTAACGAGTAAATACAATTTCTTTAAATCTACTTGTTTTGATTTGTGGTAACGAACCTTCATGAAAAATTATTTTGTACCTGTAGGGTCCTTGCTCCTGTACCTCTGAGATCACACACGAAACGACCGACGATAGGAATGTTTACTCGTTGGATATGAGCACTATATCCGAACGCACGGACGACGCGTCGAAAACCGTGAACGAAACAGGAACTGAAAATGTAACTGTTTCTGGGAGCAGTACAGAGTACACGGAGGATACGTTGGAGAAACGGGATGCAAATAGATCCGAGTATCGTGAGAAATTTAGCGACTCTTCCGAATACGAGGAGCCAAGCGATTTGGAAGAAACGAAGGACGAGGCGACGGAAATAAGCGAACCTGTGCGTAAGGAGTCTAGGATGAAAGGTGGCGCGTCTATGAAAGAGAATATCAAAAGATTGATAGCTCGTAGAGGAACAGAGAAAGTGGCCGAGTTTACGGAAGGGGAGACGGAGAGATTAATGTCCGAAGAACAAACCGTGGAAATGTCTGCGAAAGAGGACAGGAAAAAGTCGACTCAGGAACGAGTTATGGAAACGTCTACTGTTTCATACGATTCCCCATTGCACGATCCGCTGGCGGGGTTGGAAGTGTACGGCGTTCATCATAAATCGAAGAAAAAAACTAGACCTAAGAGACTCGAAACAGTCGTGGAACGAGGCTCTGAAGGGAAGAAGATGAAGGAATCTAAGGTACAGGATACAGAAGAGAAACCTGTAGAAGCTGATGAGAAAGCTAAGAAAATATCCGTCGATTCGCAAACTGTTGAATCGAAGATCGACAAGGCTACCGATTTACCTGATAAAAGCAGACATACTCAAACAAAGTTCTATCAGCGCGATAGGAAAGAGAAAAGTAAACGTACTGAAAGAGATATTGAAGCCTCGGGTGTAAAGGAAAAAAGTAAAGAAAGGAAGGAAACGTCTTCCAAGAGGAAAGAACGCGACCAGAGAAGGTATTGAAATATTACCTTTCGTAGTTCTTTTTATAGAGATGGAGGAAGCTTCTTGAGTGCGTGATAATTTTCAATTTTGTTCAGGCTCAGAGAAGGAGATCGCGTTAAATCATCGAAACGGAAGAAACCAAGTTCGGAAAAGTCGACTGTGTCGGACGAGGAGGAATTCTATTCTGGAAAAAGAAGAAGGGGAAAACGTCAGCGAAAAATCAAGTAAAATTAGTTGCAAAAAAGGTATTTTCATTCTTGGTTGCTGGTGGTCTAAATCTTAACCACGTCAGGGAACAGGACTTGGGAGTCTACCAGCAACCTATAACAAAGAATCTTGAAATCAAAAACATTTTTTAAAATATTTACGCAGATTACAATACGAAGAGGGGAAACCATCTCGAAGGGAGCGGCGGAAATATGCGAGGGACGAAGAATGCGAGGACTACTATGCAGAAGAAAGATTAGACGAAGTTCCGGAAGTCTTCAGTGAAAGAAAGGCAAGAAAGAAACGAGAGCCGTGCAAAGATAAATATACTCAATATGATCGTCCTGCGTATCCTCCACAACAATACTCTAGAATGGATGTTTACGGACCTTACGAGGATGCTTCTCCATCGAACGTTTTACGCGAAAGGTATTAATCTTGCTTTGGAAAATAAATCAGCCAGTCGAGCGTTTATCGACCAACGTTAATAAGATACTGTGTTTCAGACCTTGTCGCTGTCATCCCCAACATGAGGTAAACCTTTGCGGAAGGTCCTCTTCTGGGTCACGCGACGAAGTCTCCAGGCACCCAAGAGATTATCCAGGAATATCGACGCAAAGGTTCGAAATGCCTAGGGTGAAGAAATATTTACCCATGTACCAAAGTCCGGGATTAATTGAAGAATTGAAGCGACACGATCGTATGAGATTAATTCGCGAGAGGGAAGCTAGAAGACACAAACAGGATACTATTCCGCTCCGTTCGAAGATGGAGCGTAAAAAATCCGAACGTATCATAGTGTGCCACCCTCCAACGTCTGTAAGCATTAAAATTGCATTTTCGTTTCGAGACTCTTTTGCTTAACCGTTTCGTTTCAAGATGAGACCGGTTGACAGAGATGACAAGCTCCCCTATCAAGAGACGCAAGCTTATAAAAACGTGTTGTGTGAATTTCGGAAGAACGTGCGTCGGAGAAGTCGCGAAAATCGTGAGGATAGCATACCTTTGATACGTTTGTCTAAAAAAGCAGATAAAAGTAAAAAAGTGAAGCAGTTGTATCCTTCCAAAGGACAGAATCGTAGGAAATCTGACACTGTAAAGAAATTTGCTAACAAAATAATTGGGTCGTTCAAGGTGATTGAAAATGTTAATGATAGATATTGATTATCGGTATCGCGAGTGTTGTTACGTTATGTAATTAATGTTTAGCCAGTCACGTGTAAAAAGCATAAGTGTAAGAGACTTTCTCAAAATTTAACGTTGGAACGAATGGATGCATCATATTACGATTATTCCCTGGATCCAGAAGTTTTGAGCGATATGTCCACTTGCAATTGCTCGAAAGATGGCCGTAAATCTGGGGCTGCGACTTCTGCTGATGAGACAACTGATAATAACGATTCGACGCAGTAAAATGATGAGGATATTTTACATTATTATGCGAAATTAACTTTATCGGCTCGTTAAGATAGTGTGCTAATCTGGTTACAGAAAAACTATAACATTTATGATGTTTTATAACAGAAAAACATTTCTATCTTAATTTAAAACGTTGTAATGATACATATCTCATTAAGTTAATAAACCTTATGATATAAATACGTAATACTTTTAGAGATGCAGGCTGTTTACATAATCTTCGTAAGATAAACATGACTATTGTTCGAAACAGAATAAATGAGAAATTTTTTAAATTAAAAAAATGACAACATTTTGAAAACGAAGTATCGATTTAATTTTTTTCCCCATTTAAAATATTGTACATTTTTCAATACAATTTTACAAACATATTCTATACACTCTATGCTTTCAGAAAATGTACGAAAATTGTTATTTTTTAAAACGTCTAAAGTGAAAGTACCCCTTTTATAATTTTAATTGATGCACGGATACCGTCGATTGTTTCAAATCCTCGCTGTTGTCAACATGTATAACCTTTGGAGTAATATGTGATAAAAATTAACACCTACGTATTCGAAATGAGAGTAAATTAACGCGTCGTGATAAAATAAAGCAATTGGAACAACAAACAAAGATAAGTTAAATAACCAAGAATGATTTTATAACAATTTTTAACCGACATCTAGACTCTACATTGACGTAACGTGAAAAACTCAGAAGTATAAACAACTCTTAATCTCAAACTTTGGCGATGTCGACGAAAACGGAGAACAGCGCAAGTAAAAATATTTTTAAAAATTACACAACTACCTTTCCAAAAGGAAAGCGCTTGCATTTGAGGGATAATACAAAATTCACCAAGGACAGAAGAAAAAGAAAAAAATAAAGAAGAAATCCTTGCAGATTTTTCAATTTTCGTTGAATTAAAATGGGACTCGGACGATTATTCAGCCCCAAGAGATCGAAACCGGCGATTCCTCCCGACCAACGCGCCAAATCTTCAGAGATAAGAGACAATGAGTCAATTCCTACACAAAACTCGAAGCATCCTTCAAACTCGGAACGTCTTTCAAACTCGAAGAAATCTTCGAACTCGGAACAGTCACCAAAAATCAGTAACGCGAGCGCAATTTATCCATTGTACGATGTGAAAGCGACCAGTTTTCCTCCGCCCCTCTCGATCGATGCGTCTGTGTTCACCGATGCTCAGAATTTAACTCCACCATCGTCTGAAATCAAGAAAGAACCATCCTCTCACAGCCACGATAAAAACGATAAAATTGATCCAGAGACGGACGAGAAAGAGAAGGATGAAGTCAAAAGCGATGCTTGCGACTCGAAAACCTGCGAAAAGGAAAAATGTGCTCCCGAAACTTGTGGAAGCCCTCCCAAGAAACAAAACGATTTGAACGATACAATCAGCCCTGAAAAATTAACGGCGATGATCAACAGTTCGATCAAGGAAGCGATGGAGATCATCGCGAAACAATGTGCAATGGTATTTATGAAGCAAGTATCCAAAATACTTAGGCCTTTGAAAAAGTGGTCACCTTTTAATGATAATCAAAAGTATTTTTACAGAGACTGCTATTTTGAACGTTGTTAAAACTATTTTGTCGTATTAGTGGTACGTTATCTTGTTTCTAGAAACAGGAGGAAACGAAAGATCTCGAGAAGAAACCGAAAGAGGACCTCGGTAAGTCGGTCTGCCACACCAAGAAGGAGGAGACACCAACGAAAGCTAAACACGAGAGTCGATCCCGTACGGTTCAGGAATATTCGAGAAATCGTTCGAAATCTACGAAAAACGATCGAAAATCGAATCGACCTCAAGAAAGATACAATATCGTGCGTTCGTGCCCGAAGAAGTTACACGAAGGGAGCGTCAAAGGTAAAAAGGAAAATGTGTACGAGGACGCGAGAAGCAAAAGGCATTCGAAATCGGCTAACAACGTGAAAACTGATAACCGTAGGATGACTGGAAACGTGAACATTTACATCTGTTCCGAAGCTAATGAAAATACTCAAGTAATTTCATTCTTTAAAACTTTAAGAAATTGTATAATATTTCAGATGATCGTGATGAATATTTTATTCATTTTCGAACTTCAAAGGTATTTGATTTTTATGATTATACCATGAAAGATTCTCACGTGTTAAGTCAGTGTTGCTTTCTTTCTGTGAACAAAATAGCACTATCTTAATAACCTTAAATGAAGTTCACGACCTTGCCATCTTGTTTGATTTGTCATCAAATACTGATCATTGCTATTAATTCGCAGTAATGTATAGATAATCTCTACGCTTTATGTGTATGAGGATTGTTAATGAAATATACAAATTTTTTAATTTAAATTCGACTATTAACACGTTGACTGTCATGATGGACAAAAAATATTGCATACACCCCTAGACAGGGAAAACTAGAGTAGTCAACGTGTTAAGAATCGTCATCAAGATTAAGACATAATAGATGCAACATCAAGAGGTATTATTCTATTTTTTTAATTTTTTCTAATTTTAATTGACTACGAGTCAGTGTCACAAAGACGACGCACGGGCCCTGAACCTTGCAGGTCAGATCATAGCATTAACTTTGGACGACAGCCGCATTTAGTTTCTGGAATTTTCCGCCAAACGATTCTATAAAAAAACTTCTCTTGATAATCATTCGGTTACGTTTCAACCACCCTAACCATTCATACAACAAGCAAAGATAAACACAGTTCAAGCCTCTGTGTCATACTCAAATCATAAAATAAAGACCACCCCGGTAGAACGTGCTAAATAATTAGATTTATTTTCGAGTAATTTTGTATCGTTACAAACGGGTCCACGCCTAGAACGTAATAATTTTATTGTATTTTCTCTGGCGATAACATTATCGGAGCTTCATAAGACATTTTGCACTATCGTTCGTAGACATCGAGCAAACAGAAGAAGTCACAGCCGTGCGCGGAATCGAGTTCGGAAACAACGACCGAGCGATCGAACATTTCGTCCAGCAAGCTCGTGACTTCGATCCGAAACAAACGCAGGAAGACCAAGGAGCAGAGTTCGTTGAGCTTCCTTCCGGACACGGAGGAAAGCGGCGAGAACAGCAACGCTTGCAGCTGCGTCTCGAAATCGACCGACTCGACCGTCTCGATGAAATTAGAGAGTAGCGACTTCATCGGAGTGTGTGCAAAGGATACATCGTCCACTTTAACCGAATGCCAATGCAAGGAGGCGAACATCAGCAACAGCGACGCGACGAACGACGATAAATCGGATCTGTCGTTTCAAAACACGAAGTTCGTTGTATGCGAAGAAGTTAAACCCTGCTCCTCGCTCTATCCTTTGAAGGATTCGTCGTACTCGGACAGCGAAGAATGGTCGTCGAAGTCTGTCGGTAGCAAGGACATGGAAAAACTGTTGCTGGATCAAAATCGCGGGGACGATTGGTCGCTCGAATTGAAATCCGTTCACAGTCGTCATCGGGGGAGTGATTCGAGGCGAGATCGCGACATTAACGGTGACGAAAGTTATAGAATGCAATCGAAAAGGAATTTCGAGAACGTTTGCAAATGCCAGAAGAAAGATCGGGACGCGCAAAGCTGTTATAAGAGCAAAAAACGATCCTGCAGGACGATGGAGAAGGAGGACTCGATGCAACCGTGGTCGATGTGTTGCATCGCGGAGGAAGAAGAGGAGAAAGAAGTATGCACTAACGTTAAAACGTCTCGCGAATCTATGGTATGTAGGAGGCCTGTCGAGCACACGCAGGAAGAGGTAACCGTTTGTCAAAGGACTTTGGAAAGTTCGAAAGAGTCTGAAACAACCGAGGAAGCGAACGTTTGTCGAAGAGCTTCGGAATTTTTGAAGGAAGAATCAATTAAAGTCGAGTCGAAAGAAAATGTAGTGAAATCGAAGGAGGAATCTTTGAAGGATACTGATCTCGCGAAGGCTCCGGAAGACGATGGAAAAAGTGTCGAGAAAGAACAGAGTAAAACGGAAAGGAAAGGAGCTTCTCTAAGTGGACGCACGACGCCATCTTCGTTGATGTTTCCAAAGTTGATAAGACCCGAGGCACGAGTGCTTAAATATATTTTACAGCAACAAGTGAAACCACCCGCGCAAGTTCCAGATAGGAAGAGCGCGACCGCCGCTTCGATTGGAAAGATGGACGCTCCGAAATCGTCGATCAAAGATACGGATGTGAAAAATGAGATCGACGCAGAGACGCCAGAGATAACGGAACCAGCTTACTTAAAGAAGTTCAATCTCCGCGAGCAACATAAATTCATGAAACCGGATATAGCGAAAGTCAAACAAACGCTTCCTGGAGAGCAAAGTAAACAGGTACTTCCCGTGATAACGGATGAAAGAAAATCGGAAGATAAGGAGGATCGGGAGGATAAGGCCACGAAGAAAACGTTCCAGGAAAAACTGAAAGATTTGTTTCTGATTAGAATGTTGAAGAAAGTTTCAGGGAAAACGGAACGTTCTGAGAAACGATTAGAGGAATCTACCGTGGAAGATAAGACCGAGAAAGAAAATTCAACCGATGTGGATGAAAAGACTATTCTTGAAGCAGATACCAAGGGGAATAAATTACCAACAAAATCTGAAATTGTAACGAGAAAAGCACGAAAACACAAGTTAAGTAAAGGAGAGGATAAACTTAACCCTGCTGTTAGTGCTCCTGAAAGGACATTTCCGTTCGAAGAAAATAGAAAATCCAGTGTAAATCTCGATCCTGGAAATACAGAAAACGTTAAGACGGACGAGAAAGAAACGATCGATGTAACTGAAGAGGCACAACGCAAGTCCAAATCGATAGACGCCAACAAACAAAGTACCGATCTCGAAGCAACGAACCAAGGAAAAGAGGTTCGAACACGATCTGAATCTCGTGTATTTCAAAAAGATCCCGACGTTAAACGGAAATCTGACGATCAAGAGAAGCTGGAATTCGAATCACGAAAATCTTCGGTACGGCCTGGAAAATTATCGAAAGAAGCGATCGCTGAGGAGCGTCCCGACCTGGAGAAAGAACCACTGACCGTGTGCATGCAATGCGTTCAACGAAGATTGTTGACGAAAGGGTCGAGGCAATCTACAGTTACGCAGCACGAACAGCCCCACGAATTATTAGAGCCTCGCACGATATGCACGAATCTGAAATTTCCACGCTGTGCCGGCGTTGGTGACAATTTCAGCGTCGACGGTGGAAGGCTTGAGGGAAGCAAGTGCAATTGCTGTTATCTACCAACGTCGCAGTGCAACAACAGACTCACGGATTATCCAAAAAGTTGTTTGAAGAAGGAGAGGCAATTCTGTCGTGCTGGTTCCAGGGAAAACAGTTGCTCGATTTTCTATCACGATAACAGAAGCTGGGAGGAGTGTGATTGTAGGAGAGTAATCACCTGCGACGATTGTTGCAGACCGAGAAACGAATGCAGGTGAAATATATTTTATGATAAAACGTTACCTCTCGTACTCGACACCAGAGGGCTACGCTTTTGTCTCTCTTGCAATCGCTCGACTAAGGCAGGGGCTGCTAGGATTGCCTTATTAATTAATCAATGAGTCCATTTTCCTTCCCTTTTCTGTCTTCCTACGGGTTTTCCTCCACCAAGCAGAAGCGCGCCACAAATATTTGATATCTGAAAATATATATGGAACTTTATAATCTCTAATTTGACCTATTTACATTATCGTTGCGCAATGCCTCATGTATATACACACATGTATCTTATGTAAGATTTATGTAAGTTAATTATCTGTGTAGATTAAACGTTCCCCGCTCTCTCGCGTTATTACACGCTATAGATCACGTTGCTTTCGATTTTTAACAAACGTACAATCAATCTTAATTATCATCTTACAGTTGCAGACTGACGATAACATGCGCGAATTGCTGCAAACCGAAAAACGAGTGCAGCTGCAAGTCCGTTTGCAATACAAGGAACGCCTGTAGCTGCGCGAAATCGATGTTCTGCCTTTATTGCGATCATCCTCGCGAGAAATGCGCCTGCAGAGCTCCGTTACGAAGATGCTCGTGCTGCGAGCTGTCCATGGACCTGTGTATGTGCGAGGATCGTAAAACCTTCGCCGAGGGAAGACCGGTCCTTACCGAGCCCGACAACAAGCGCACCATGTACGTCACTGCCTGGAAGCCTAGAGAAGAAGTGAGACGTTACTTTTCCAGAAATTTAGAGAATCGTCGGGTCGATTCCATCAACGAGTGCCGCTGCCACGAGAAGCTAAAGTCACGAAAATCGGACGATCTGCCTTATCAGCGGCTGAGCGTTTTCTCGGACGTGATGGACGAGTTGCAGCAGAAGATCAGCGAATCGACGTGCTGCACGCAGTGTAGAAAGGTTCCCTGTTGTTGCAACAACAAGGCTGAGAGGGACGAGGGAAGGGACGAGAGAAAGATGAAATATTGTGTCAGGTAAAACGCGAGTTCCACGGACGTTCTCGAGAGTTTTCGCTCATACCTTTCTCTTCTTTCGTTTGTTCGTTTGTTCGCGTTGCAGTCCGAAAACGAGACGAAAAATCGTGGCTGTGTGCGTGGACAAGCCGAAGGGCAAGTCGCCGATCGTCTGCAAGTGCGACGTTGGCCAAGCGAAAAGCGACAAGCACAGGAAGGCGACGGCGCCGCTTTGTTGCGCTTGCAAGTCGACGCCGTGCAGATGCAGGAAATCGAAATCGAGCCAGAAGAGACCGAGAGCAAAGTGTTACTATTGCAAAAGCTCGCCGTGCGTGTAAGTAGCGTGCGCGACACGGTTGTAGGTGAGGCTGGAGAAAAGTAAACCGAAAGAAAACGATAGATACTTCGCGCCGCCTCGTCCCGAACCGTAGATCTGGTACTTCCAGTTGCTGATCTTTTATTACATTCCTTGCTATAGCTGCATTACGGGCAGAGAACGCGGCAAACCGAGGCCGTGCAGGTGCGCTGATTCACCTTGCCGTACGAAAGAAAAGGAAATCGCGCCATGTGGTAAAACATCCACGAAACCGAAGAACAACGAGGAAAAGATAATTTGTGTCCGCTGACGCGTCACCTGCGGTTACCTCACAACGGGGACACGTATCGACGACCCGAACGAGATTTTCAAACGAAAAACAAAGCACTTCCGACTCCCAATCAAACGATATCGTATAGAAATCGTATCAAACACGAGACTCGAACAAACACACATTGCTATACGTCGCAACATTTTATTGTAAACACTGTGTCTTTGCTCGGATCATTAATCTTTCATTAAGGTTGAAATAATCACAGTTACGTTCATTTAAAGGAGATTCGAATCGGTGTCAAATAAACGTATACTTATGCTTATTTATGTGGAAATTATTGTTCTACTTTCGACGTTTGTATGACTGAAAACGCCTATTAAAATATTTTTTGCAGTCAAATTGGTACACGAAAATGAATTTGACAATTTTAAGGATTGAAAAGTTAATTGTCGTCATTTCATCGACAATATTTTCAAACACTTTCATCGTTACGTCTTATGAAATAGAATAAACAAGAATTCCGCTAGTATTCGAATCATATTTAGATTCACTGGGAATAACAAGAAACATACGTTGCCGCGCTGTATAGTAAGTAAAACAAATAGTTAATTTTTGAAACGAGAAGATAGCTTTGTACCAAGGGACGACCACTATGTTCATATAAGCTATAATCCATAAACATAACGAAGCTTGAAAATTAGCCTATTTGAATGCACCTGTATTGCCGCCCAATACGACGTTCAATAATATTCGAAACGCGTTAAAATCTACGGTTCAAGAATGTTTCTAACTTGTATAAAGTTACCAGAGAATTTTATTATTTATTTCTGATTAGTTCAATTTCTTTATTAAGCTCGAAGAACTGTTTACGATTGGGTAATAGCAAGCGTCGACCTCTTCATTTTTACCAAGCACCAGTTTGAGAAACACCCGATAACACGATCGTCACAACAGCCATAACATCTAAACAGTTAGTTTACGATCGTACACAAAGTATTTAAATCTGTTTAAAACGCCGCCGGGAGAAGGGGGTATCTTACGCCTCGTATAAGACGCTGTCTCCCCTGTTTTACTAGACCGGTACGAGCCGTAGACCGGTAACGTGGTCTTGTTTCGTTAATCGCGCTCCTCGTTCCCTTGCGCTTTCAATCTCATCCACATTCTTTCGCTGGTTTAAAACAAACCCTGGGTCCAGTGCATCGACGTTCTTTCTCCCGTTCTCTCGCGCGAAATACACTTTCATTTTCATATTTTCATACGAATCTTCTCGCGCGAGTGTGACAAGATCGTTCCGGAGGAGAAAGTAAGTTCGAACCGAACGGGGAAACATAACTGAACAATCGAAGGAAAATGCAAGACTACAGTGAGGATTCTGGATTACTCTGTGCCTCACGCGATAAGCTCTACAACGATAAGAACTCCCACGAACAGAAGGTGTCAACCCTTCGCGAGCTTATAGATGCTCTGCACGAAGCTTTCGAGACCGACAATGTAAACATCGACCTGGTCCAGGACCTTATGGCCTCCTACAGAAGCAACCCTTTGGAATGGAAGAAATATGCGAAATTTGATAGATACAGGTAACATTTAGGATATACATCAATATCTCTGATATACTAATCAGTAGATATGAGACATTCCATCGAGAACAATACTGTAATTTGTCTCAACGATGATTCGCGATTAAATTACCACAGAAGTCCGTTGACAAATATGAGGCGGGCATGGACTTTTTTTTTAAATTACCAAATTGAGCTATATTTTTATCAGCTGGTACTTTTCCTGCGCCACGAACAAGATTATTTTTTAGTTTTATTTGGCGACTTTGTTTATCAAATAATACCAACAAACCCAATCAGACGTACTGCAACCTGTTAATAGTTAAATGTTTAAAATGTGTGAAATTAGCCAACTGATTGAAGACTCTCGATTGTTTTGCGCGTCTCACCGTTCACGAACGATCGAACATCTTGGTAAATATATACTCGGTCGTCGTGCAAGTAGAACACGAACAACTGCGTCGGAATTGTAGAATGAATTTGACGCGACGAAGTTCATGATAGGTTATCGGCCGTCACGGTTTCTCCAATCCCGATCCGTCTCGTAAATTTTCTGTTTCGTCCGTGAAACGAGCAGCCTTGAACGACCGAGGATGCAACGAAGCTTCGCCCCAAGAACGAATCGCGCTGTACGAGAAAAGTAAATGACCCCATGAAAAAAAAAAAAAAAAGGAAAAACGACGTAAATTAAGTATTACTGCGAGCGTTGACGTCCTTATCAACCGGGTAACCCCGTATCGATAGAAATATACTGGTTACGCATGCAACATTTCGCGAAATCACATTTTTCAAAACACGAAAGACATATAGAGGCCGTAACGCGAGCATTGAAAGCGATCTGTTTATACACGAACGCGAAACCGATAAGAGAGAGGGTTCCAGAATCGTTCCCGTTTGATACGAATAATGACTCGAAAGCAAACGACAACAAACAAACCGCGCGATCGCAAATGCGTTCCGTTGACGCGTATTTTGTCGTGAAACTATCGGAAACGATTAATCGTCGACAGATAACGTATCGATAAGTTCGTCCCTCGATCTTGTTACAATTAAACTCCCCAAATCGATCGATACGAACGGAATTGTTACGAAAGCTGACGCGTACGCTCTACATTTTATAGTTCAAAGGCCAAATTGCCGGGTGAATTTTAATCGACTTTCCATCTTGTTCGCGCGAAACGGAACGGGTCGATCTGGTATGAAAATTGTCTCGCGAATTATAAAGATAACGACTATGTCGGACGTAATAATATAAGATTATGGCACGTAACAGCTGACACGGTCGGTTTCCACACGACGCGCGAAAGTATGGAAACTGCATCCCACGTGGGCACAATATTTGCACAAAGTAAGGTGCACTATTTAGAGCAAATAAGATAACGTTTACCAAACACATTTGCAAAATAATTGATCAAAATCTATTAACGATCGACGTTGTTCACTTGTTTTCCACAATGTTTAACCGAACCGATAAAATGACTTTTTTCGGTTGATTTTACGGAGAATACCTCTCTCTTTTCCGTCTTGCTCGAATAATTATATCCACGAAAGAACGGACCCGATCGAAATGGTCCGACATCGTTGCAATCTGAGGCTAAGTATGCGGAACGCTTTAGAGTCTGTGTGTATTGCACATAAATCAGTGGTGTACGTTCGGTGAACGGCTGGTTACACACACTTTCCACGTATGCCTCCCCCTCCCCCCCTTCTCGCCACTTACAACATTACACTTGAGCCAGAACATCGGTTCCTCGACACGCGACACTCGTCCGATCGAAAGCAACGAATGACGAGAATTTTTCACACAGCCAAGAGAAAGACCGATCGACCAATTTAACAAACGTGAAAATGTTTGAAAAGATTCTCACAGGACTATTGCGATTCTCTTTTAACATCCATCGATAAATCTTACGACACGCTTAGGATCAATTTTTACGATCGAGTACAACAGAAATCCTTGAGGAACGTTTTCCTGTTTCACACTGCTAATTGATAGTAATTAATTATCCTTCAACGTTATCCACTATTGCTCATATCCTTAAATGGAACAAAAGTATGTGTCATTCTGTTCAGATATACAAGGAACTTAGTTGACGAAGGAAATGGAAGGTTCAACCTCATGGTTTTGTGTTGGGGAGAAGGTCACGGATCAGCCATACACGATCACGCTAATGCACATTGTGTGATGAAAATCCTCCAGGGTGAACTTTGCGAGGTATCAAGAAATATTTTGTTCCTCTCGCGTTTATACCGGGCAATTGTCTAAAACGCCATCTTTCCATAGACGAGATACGCGTGGCCTGTGAAACACGAAAATAATAAAGAAAATGATGAACCGGAAGAACTGAAAGAATTAGTGAGAAACACCGTTGGTCTCAACGAAATATGTTACATCAATGGTACGGTTTTTGTTCTAAATAAATAGAAACTTTGTACGTTTCCCCGTGACTTTAAATAAAAATACATTTTATAGATTCTTTGGGACTTCATCGAGTTGAAAATCCGAGCGCTGTGAATCCTGCAGTTTCGTTGCATTTATATTCCCCGCCGTTCAATTCGTGTTCGGTTTTCAATAAACAAACTGGACAAAGGAGCTCCAGCAAAGTCACTTTCTGGTCCATATACGGAGAAAAGAGAAACCGAGTAAAATTATTGATATTCTTTTTTCTAATAATTATAAAAATAGAAAAGTTAAATTGCAACTAACATTATTTTAATCTGCAGGAAATTCAAGATGCCAGGTGTCCTGAAGACAATTAATACGCTAAACGTGACACACTACGACAACAATTATAGTAGAAATTTTTCCTAAGTTGAACGAAATGAATTTTAAAATTTAGTGAAACTAGTATATAAGTATATAAAATATTAAGTACTTAAATGTATATTTATAAGGACTTCTATACCCTTCTGTGTATTTCGCTCAATAATTGTGACGTCCCCTGAATTTTTACACATAACTTGACAATACTATTTTAGAATGTTGTATAAACGAAGTATGTAAAAATAGAAGATTAATTTAATATTTTCTTGTTTTGTCTGGACACTGACCGATTATTATATTATGGAGTTTACAACCAACGAATATTAAATTAAAAGATAATGTAAATATACATACATATATTATCTATTTGTTCTAATAAATTAGAAGATGTTATCATACTCCGTTTGAATTCCGTTAAAATTGATCGTCAAGTGTTATGGCGACTGTAGCGCGCCATTTTCGTTCGAATACCAATCGGTCATCTATGACAAAAAGAGACGCACATTGAACTAGAATTGAGTCTGAAACATTTTGCGAAGGATTATGATTTAATTGTTACATGTGTATTAACGAATATCGATTCAATTTTTAATTAAAAGTATATACAGTAAATAAACAGAAAATAAACTTAACCTGTAACAAATATGTAGAAGATATTAACATATAAAGCATACTTTTGTATTTGTAGGAAATGGGAAGATCGATTCTGAGTTAAGGAAAATGTAAACAATGTCGAGTAACGTTTATTTACCACGTACTTTTAGCTCTGTAAACTACCTCATTTTGAAGTGCGCGGCACAAATGATAATTATGTACGCGGGATAACTTGTCAGGTGGTGAATTATATGATTGGTGGGAAAAAGTCGAATTTACGCACTGAAATATGTATTTCTAATAAACTGTTAAATATCACAGAACATTGTATCTTAAATAATATTGAATAATGTAGTCGTGGCCGTCGCAAAATAGAAACTAGGAATGAAAAAACGAAGATATCAGACCAAACGGTTCGATTCTCCTATGATTCATTGTCAACGTAATTATTTTAGTATCACATTTAGTGAGGATTAAATTGATCCAACAATTGGTCTTTAAGAATAAATATACTCGATCTGTGACTATATTTAAATACATACCTATGATGAAGCTACCTACATATGGATACGAAATATAGATACTGAACGAAACTAATATTTGAATCGTCGATAGCGACCGGTACTACAATACATTTATTTCGGAGAATATAGAAAGGAAACAAGTATCAAGAACTATGCCCTAATAATTAGGTATGGAATACAACACTTCTGATTGGTTTATATCCTAAGGCCGCGTATTCACTTACCATGCAATCGCAAACTGCTCGTCACAAATACGGACTATAATACAGTTACTGCATCACACACTTTCTCACACAATTTCGCACATAAATGAGACAAATTAAACAAAATTACAATTTTACAATGAAAAAGTACATCAGATCAAATATATAAAGATATCAAATAAAGTAATGGAAGTTAAAATTAATTTATTAACACGCTACGCGTCGAACCTACGATCTGTCTGGGCAAAAGCACAATGGACCAATGGGATTCAGTCGTGGTCACAATTTAGTTCGGCGTGTTGAAATAGAAGATGGAAGCAGAGGGAGCTACTGTTCGAGACTTTGACCTCACACCAATCACAGTTGACAACGAGATTTGTGTTCTTTCGACTTAAGGCCTTCTAGCACTGTTCAAACTCTTACAGGCGTCCCAACCGTCACTGTGAGTTACAGGTATAATTCGCTTACAATAGCTGTTTCACTATCTTGTAGGCAGCTTCGGATGAGGGTTAAGACAAAAGGCAACAAGGCAAATAGTTTGTGCGATGACTAATTAATTTTAGGCAGTTATTAACTGCGGTACGCCGTTTATTAATTTTAGTCCTACTTAGTAAACTATACTTGTGCAATTTTCGGTTGCCGACGCTACTTCGTTTCATCTCAATTTTACCGAAGGTAAGTGGGCTAAAGGTAGGAATAATCTCGTAATCCAAAATTTCATCTAAAAATATTAATTTTCTTTTCGAAAACCATTTAATATTTGTATATAGATTTAATTTCTGAAAAAACAGATGTTTATGCTAAATTGGCATCTTCTTCCATACTGGCCAATTACACAGTGGATATTTTCCCGCCATATTAGCAAAACTTGCTTCGGGTACGAAAGTGTTTTTAGTAAATACCGATTCTAGTATTTCGTGTTGAGTAAAATTTATTACCTATAATAGAGTACATTTATATTTTGTTTATACATAACATTTATTGCAATTAAAATTGACACGATAGAATAGTATTCCGTGATTTTCACATGTTGAATATCAAAGCTTACATTAAAAAGAATTAGAAATAAATAAAGTAAGACTTGATTAAATGAACACTAAAGTTTGTAATTTCTTGATTATCAATGGCTTTTGTTTTCTAATGTGCTGAAAAAAGCTACATATGTATTGTATATGTATGTATATGTAAATATTGTATATATTGTGAAGTGTTCTTGCATATAAGCTTTCTTATGATATTCTATTATAAAAGAAATTGGTTCAATTTTTGTAGGGTACATTGCCAAACTCACATACTACACATGATTCCTTTTTATTTTTATTTTTATAAGAAGTAGAATATGTTACTAAAATTCATTTGTATATTTCAAAAATATTGTATAAATAATAATGCAGAACTTGACATTGTGTAGTAATATTATACAATGTTTATTTGTTTACAGAAAAAGTACACTGTATTTTAAATAGTTTAGTGGCTGAGTTCGGTTTTCATTTTAAAGATAAATAACCCTGATTTTCCTATATCACTAGCTTGTTAAACAAAATAAAGATAATTAAGGTAAATGAGTATTTACAAAAACATTGCGTCCTTAAATCTTAACATATGTTATTGTTGAGCTTGGATATAATTGGACAATTCACATTAAATTTTATATACAGGGTACCCCAAGTTTTAATGTTTAAAATTTGTCAGTATATTTTATGGCACTAAGAAAAAATGTTTATAAACATGGGTCATTTAAAGGTTTATTAAAAAGTCATAACACAAATATGGAATACAAGTGGAATAGTAATCAATTTGTCGCTACTAAATTACAATTAATTTTGTTTTGTTTTCATTGTTTCATTGTACACTTTTATATTTTATAAATTACATTTTTTACTGATAAATATTCAATGTGTATAAAGCCGAATTAAAATTTTCTATATGTAAAATTAATTATGATTGTTAATATTGATACTTAAATAAAAGTAATTCTGAATATACGTGTAATATGTTTATTCTCATCTGTTATGTTTTAAAGTGTCTGTAACATATTTTTGTCCTGGCAATATGAAATTTAAGTAATTTTCCTGTTTTACAGTTGCATAAAAACTTCAACTTATAACATCATGAATACTGCGGTAGAAAATGGAGCTGATAACAATCCATCGAAGAAAAAAACCATTGAGGGGATTTATCAAAAAAAAACTCAATTGGAGCATATTTTATTACGTCCTGACACTTACATCGGTTCTATTGAACCTGTAACTGAAATGATGTGGGTTTATGACAAAGAGAAGGAAATGATGACGCAAAGGGAAGTAAAATATGTTCCTGGATTATACAAAATATTTGATGAGATTTTAGTAAATGCTGCGGATAATAAACAGAGAGATCCCAAAATGGACACAATTAAAATTGACATTAATCAGTACGTGATTACTTATTATGTAATCTGTAAATAATTAAAATATTCCTAATTAATAATTAAGAAACTAATAAAATACGATTTTAATTTGTAGAGAACAGAATATTATATCTGTTTGGAATAATGGCAAAGGTATCCCAGTGGTAATTCATAAAGATGAGAATATGTTTGTTCCTACAATGATATTTGGACATTTGTTAACATCGTCTAATTACGATGACGAAGAGGAAAAAGTAACCGGCGGTAGGAACGGTTTTGGTGCCAAATTGTGTAATATTTTTAGCCATCGTTTTACCGTGGAAACTTCGTCTAGGGAATATAGGAAATGTTTAAAACAAGTAATTATTTTATTAAAAGAAGTTTAAGATAGAAGCTTGTGTTTCTTATAATAATATGCATTCTACATAACATAATTCTATTTGTAGACATGGAGTAATAATATGGGATTAGCAAGTGAGCCCAGAGTTAAGACATCTAGCGGGGAAGATTTTACAAGGGTCATATTTTCACCAGATTTAGCAAAATTTAAAATGCAATCTCTAGATGATGATATAGTTGCTATCATGTCTCGACGAGCATTTGATGTAGCCGCTTCCACTAGTGGTGTTAAAGTATTTCTGAATGGCACTAGGGTTCCTGTTAAAAATTTTAAGGAATATATTGATTTGTATATTAAAGACAAAACAGATGATATTGGTAATCCTTTGAAGATTGTATACGAACATTGTGGACCTCGCTGGGAAGTCGCTGTTACTACATCTGATAAGGGCTTCCAGCAAATGTCTTTTGTAAACAGTATTGCGACAACAAAGGTAAAATGTTTAAGAAAGTAAAAGAAGGGAACTATTGTTTTATAATAAACTGAAGATCTTAAAAGTGTTTTTTTGTAAATAGGGCGGACGACATGTAGATCATGTTACTGAATTAATAGTAAAGCAGCTGACAGAAACGTTAAAGAAGAAAAACAAGGCAGGAGTCACAATCAAGCCATTCCAAATAAAGAATCATCTATGGATTTTTGTCAATTGTCTCATCAACAACCCTACGTTTGATTCACAAACTAAGGAGCATATGACATTGCAAGCTAAAAGTTTTGGCTCAAAATGCGTATTTCCTGATAAATTTATTACAAATGTAAATATTAAATTTCAATTTTACTGATACAATGTTTTTATACATTTATGATGAATTTTTAATTATATATAGGTAACAAAAATGGGCATTGTTGAAGCAGTTTTAACATGGGCGAAATTTAAAGCTGATAGCCAATTACAAAAGTTGGGGCCTAAGTCGAAGCAAAGAAAGTTGCAAGGTAAATTCTGTAAATAAAATATACATACAAACATATAGGATTAACTATAATAATCTGATTGTGTAAAATCTGCAGAACCGCGTTCTCTAAGTGAAATCTTTTTTGTGTAGATTATACGCTACATTTACGTGTTGAGAAGGAAATTGTTACAATTCCAAGAGTTTTATATCGATAGATTCCTGTCATTTTTGCTCCTTGTTTTATGCTGATGCAAAGATTCGCTATCACTGCTATTAACACCAAAATTTTGTTTGTATTTCATTGTCGAAGGTCTAACAGTTCTGTTGTAGCGTCTTGTGGAACTTTTCCCTTTCATATACTCTTAAAACGATTCGCTCAATGTTTCTTGTAAAGGGCGTGTGTCGGTTAGGAAATATTTTGTCATACGATTTTGAGACTATACAGAAATTTTTACGCTGTCCAAGAATAAGGAAGCGTTGACACTCGCTTGTTGATATCATCAGTCTTCATTCGCTCACAATGTAGTACTAATCTAACATTTCAAAGTAGTAGGAAATACGATACAACGTATATTGTAGTACAGTAATGCCCGCTTAACCGTCCGCGGCCGGTCCCGAGCGCGGACGCTTAAGCGGGCAGGTCACTTCTACGAATTCAACTGAGACAAGGAAAGAGGCTGAGTGTGAGTAAGATATAATAGTGAGATACAATAGAATGTATCGATAACGACCGGCGTCAAGTTACGCTCGACGCTCGCTTTCAAGATTGGGTGGGGATAACCGCAGACGCTTAAATGGGCATTACTGTATTTGGTGTAATTTTGTATTTTAGGAATACCAAAATTAGAAGATGCTAATGATGCTGGAACTTGCAGATCGCTCGAATGCACACTCATATTAACTGAGGGAGATTCAGCTAAGACCATGGCTGTATCTGGTCTTTCCTCAATAGGTAGAGATAAATATGGAATATTTCCTCTAAGAGGTAAGTAGATGTAAACATTTAATAAGGCCATTAATATTGGACCAATTAATGGTACTAATTGTATCACTATTATTTATGAAAATCACTAGGTAAGATTTTAAATGTACGGGAAGCGACTCACAAACAAATTTTGGAAAATGTCGAAATTAATAATTTGATAAAGATTCTTGGTCTTCAATATAAAAAGAAATATGAAACTCATGATGATTTAAAAACATTACGTTATGGAAAGATGATGATAATGACGGATCAGGATCAGGTTAATTTTTTAATAAATTCAGTTTTTCAGTAACTGTTGTGTATCTGTACAATAATTATGCGACACTTGTATTTATGTAGGATGGTTCCCATATCAAGGGATTGTTAATCAATTTTATTCATCACAATTGGCCTTCATTACTGAGGGTAAATTTTGTGGAGGAATTTATTACACCTATCGTTAAAGCATCAAAGGGAAACCAAGTATTAAGCTTTTTCTCTCTGCCGGAATTTCAAAAATGGAAAACAGAAACAAACAATTATCATACGTATAGAATCAAGTACTACAAAGGTTTTTATTTTTCATCTTTTGTAAAACTTCGCATCTTCGTATTTATTTCGAATTGTACGATAGCATATTCATTTCCCTCGATATAGGTTTGGGTACCTCTACTGCTAAAGAGGCAAAAGAATATTTTCAAAATATGACTAGACATAGAATTCTATTTAGATATGATGGGGACCAGGATGATCAAAATATCATCATGGCCTTCAGTAAAAAATGCGTCGACCAACGTAAAGATTGGTTAACGAATTATATGGATGAAACAAAAAGAAGAAAAGATATTGGACTTGGGGAGCGTTTTCTTTATGAAAAAGATACACGTACCGTATCATTCTCGGATTTCATTAATGTTGAATTAGTTTTATACAGTAACTACGACAATGTACGATCCATACCGAACGCGATGGACGGTTTAAAGCCGGGACAAAGGAAAGTTTTATACACGTGTTTAAAACGAAACGACAAACGCGAAGTTAAAGTTGCTCAGTTAGCTGGTTCGGTTGCTGAACATTCAGCATACCACCACGGCGAAGTTTCTCTGATGTCGACTATTGTCGGTCTGGCACAGAACTTCGTAGGCAGTAATAATATTAATTTACTTCAACCCATTGGTCAGTTTGGTACTAGGCTATCCGGAGGAAAAGATTCGGCCAGTCCTCGATATATCTTCACAATGCTTAGGTACTTGAATTTTTATTTTATGTAACAGTTATAAATAAAAAAGAACAGTTAACATATTTTTCCTTTTCCTATTACCACAGTCCATTAGCGAGATTTATATTTAACAAATATGACGAACCATTACTGAAATATGAATATGATGATAATCAAAAAATTGAACCTGTCTATTATGTACCAACTATACCAATGGTATTGATAAATGGTGCTGATGGCATTGGTACTGGTTGGATGACAAAAATACCGAATTACAACCCTAGAGAGATCATTGAAAATTTGTACAGAATGATGGATGGCGCTGAACCAAAACCAATGGTAGTTATATTTATTAAGAACGTGTTTTCTATACATTATTTTGATATATTTTATTAATTTTTTTCGTTTTCTATGTAGATACCCTATTACAAAAACTTCAAAGGAGTAATAGAGAGTTGTGGAGATTATCGGTATGTTCTTAATGGTGAAGTCTCAGTAATTGGAGCAGATAAAGTTGAAATTACAGAGCTACCAGTTGGAGTATGGACACAAGCGTATAAAGAATCAGTTTTAGAGCCAATGTTACACGGAAGCGATAAAACACCGTCTATTATTACGTAAATATAATAGTATTATTAACTAAATATTGTAAATTAATCAAACAAGTACGAAACAGTCATTGTTCGTTTCTCGGAATATTATTATAGAGATTACAAGGAATACAACACGGATACGGCAGTACACTTTGTGGTGACTTTAAATCGCGATAAGTTAGTAGAATTAGAGAGAGATGGTCTTCACAAAACGTTCAAATTGCAAACAACAATGGCGATTACATCCATGGTAAATATTTTGCACGCCTTATTAAAAATAAATAATAAGATATAAAATGTTATTAATTGCATAATAAATTATATTTATTTTTACGTAGTGTGCATTCGATGCGAATCAATGCCTTCAGAGGTATGAGAGTGTTACTCAAATTTTGAGAAGTTTCTATAAAGTGAGACTGGAATTGTACCACAAAAGGAAAGATTATTTAGAGGGTATACTGCAAGCGGAGGCATCTAAACTTTCAAATCAAGCAAGATTTATTTTAGAGAAATGCGATGGCACTATAGTAATAGAAAATAAAAAGAAGAAGGATATGATAGCTGAATTAATTAGACGGGAGTATGTATCCGATCCAGTAGTGGCTTGGAAATTATCACAAAATAGAGAAGAAGTTTTGGTAAGTACTGTACCTTTACTTTAAGCGATTATCTGCAATGATGCATTTAAGCTTAATTGTTATGCTACGTTAGGAAGCTCAAGTAAGTGGTGGGAAGAAATTGGAGTAAAAAACACGAAATAGAATTTTAATTCTAACTTGTTTTAATCTTAATGCACGCGTATATATACAAATAATTGTGTAATATATTGATAGGAAGAAATAGCCGAAAATGTTGATGATGAAGAGGCTGCATTACCTACTGTCATAGCAAAAGAAAATTTTGATTATCTGCTAGGAATGACGTTGTGGAGTCTTACACAAGAAAAGAAAGACGAATTATTACGCCAGAGAGACGAAAAATTAGCAGAATTGAAAAGATTACAAGCTCGTTCGCCTGTTTCTTTATGGAAAGAGGATTTAAACAATCTATTAAGTGAATTAAATAAGGTAAGTAGATGTTGTCTAACATCGTAGAATGTCTAACAAAGCTTTACTCCTGTTTCATATTTTATTAGCTTGAAGATAAAGAAAAAAAGGAAGATTTGAAAATGTCTAAACTTATCAAAAAGCCGCCATCAAAAATTTATGCTTCGAACTCTATACGTAGAGTAATTCCTACAATCGATATAGAATTGAAAAAAAAAATCGAAAAAGCTGAAATCGTATCCAAAGATAAGAAGGAAGGCATTAAAAAACAGCCAAGGGTAATGTAACAAGTTATCAAATTATTATTTAAATATTTTTGCTATCTATTTATATATAATAATTATTTACATATAAAACATTTCTTTTACGCATAAAATGTTTTATGTAAGTTAGACATAAAAATTTATGTAAACATTATATGTAGGGAAAGAAAGAACCAATAGAGGAGAAAGATGAATTTGATATCTTGGTGGAATCGAACGCAAAATCTTTGTGTGAAAGGATAAACATTATTCCAGAAAAAGGAGACAAAAAAGCAAGTGGTAAAAGTATGTATACACAAAATTATAATAAAATAAAGATAGAGGCTTACACAGATCATTATATGCAACGTTTTCTGTAATGTTTCGATTAGAATTAAAACAAACAACATTGCATTTTAAAAAAAACGCCAGAAAAGGTGATAAAAGGAAGATAAACTCTGGTGGTGAAAGTCATGATGAGATTGATTTTAGTAGTATTTCACCTCCTCCAGAACCTCGTTTATCCCGTAGAAATACAGGTATTAATTGTCATGTTTTAATATTAAATAATGCATATACATATAAAGTTAATATTTTTTAATTAAATTTTGAACGCGACAGCTAAGAAAAACTACAGTTTTGATTCTGAGTCTTCATTGAGCGACGAACCGACTAATCATCATTCGTCGGATTCAGATCAGTGAGTTCATTTCATAATTTTACAGATACGAAAAAATAAAATACATTTCTATTAATTATTTTTCTTTTAGAAAAATGAAATCCGCTACAATAACAAATAGTGATTCTGATGATATCTTTAACATAAATAAGAAGGCACCACTACCGAAATGTAAGTAAATTAATATAAGCAATTAAAAATTCTCTTCATTTGGTACTGATTTAATAATGTTTTTGTTTCTAATAGTAAGTTCAGAAGAACTTTTTGACTCCCTGGTCAGTGGTTCTTCGGCAGAAAAACAACAGAAACTACCATTTGTTATGTCATCCAGTGAAGAGATATTCACATCTCCGACAAAAGGTACTAAAGTTTCTTAATAATACTTTAGTAATTGTAAACGTATTTATGTATCATATTGTTTATTTATACTATAATTTGTTGTTCATAATTTAGCACCTGTTAAAAAGAAGGCTGAAAATGGAGGCAAAAGGGGAAAAATACGATTTAAGACAAAGGTATTTTCTTCTGATTCGGACTCCGAAGAACAAACGTTCTCTAGCAAAGAAGCTCCTGTGAGTAACGATACATTTCATAAATTATTGAATAAGAATTTATTATTTTAAATATAATTAATAGAAAGTAAAAATTGTTATGATATATACATTTCTGAACATTAATACGTTTTTTATAATTTAATGATACAGGCAAAGAAAAGGAAGAAGAAGACCGAGCCGCAGCAGGATAATATTGCCAGGATAGAAGAAACTTCTTCAGTTCCAGCGCCGAGAAATAACTCTGGTCGTACTCGTAAACCAGTTTCATATGCTGTAGACTCGGATGACGATTCTTCTTAAATGATTTTATTCGCGCAAGTTTTCAGTTGAATTATAATTCAGATTGTTAACATTATTTTATATTATCAATAAACCAGATTATTTTATGTTAATAACGGTACACAATCTGAAATACAATTCAACTGAATGAATATACATACATTCAGTACATGTACATGCACAGTGTTCCTACGTTAAATGTGAAAACGGACCTTATGTTAACGTTACAAAGCCAGTGAAGCGATTAATGCGGCGGACATGATGTTTGATCACACCCAAGTAAGTGGCGACACTTATCTATAATACGGTTTCACATCGAACATAAAGTCAAAACTTTTATTTACATTCGTTTTGTACAAAATTGTAGAGATGTTAGAAAAAAAAATAGATTCTTGACAAACTTTACATTCACTGTATATGTCATGTGATGTAGTGCAATATTATGTTTGGGAATTTATTTATTTTATTAAAAGATAAAGTAAAGAACAAGTCTGACATCAAGTTGAAGTATAGATTTAAATAAAGCTAAGTCAGGGGTTAGCTTAGCTTTGTTAATATTATTTTATATAATACTCTTGAAGAGTTTGAAGCAAGCGGTAACGTACAAAAAAACGTTACCCTCTTGCGTTGAGATTGGGGACACACGAGCGTTAATGTGACTCTTCGGTCCCGAGTAATACATTTAAGGTGGGAATACTGTATAAAAGAATGTATGTACGTGTACGTGACGCACTACCTGTCAATAGTGTGAGAGCCGTCCGTGTAGGGCCGTATGTTTTTCAATCCAAATTGGAAATAACGCAAAATTATTAACACCACATGCTCTTACAAACGTACCAACTGTCATTCAAAAGCACAGATGTAATACACTCACAATAACTATGCGTAGCAGTTGTCTATACAGCTTAATTTATATTTATCTTCGTAATTCTATAGATGTGATTGCAATGAAGTTCGTGCATTTATCATGCATTGAACGTTCGATATTAAACTGCGTTGTATATATTCTTTAAAGATTTAATTATAATTTTAATTCGCCAAATATGTTTTACTTATTTTTTCATGTATCGGATTCACATTTTTTAACGAAACATAATTATCGTTTACGTATATATATATTTACTTGTTAGAGATATTTTTCGTATCCGTAATAAATGATGTATCTTGAATATACGAGGTACTTATTGTAACGTGTGAAAACAATTGTATCAATTAACACGTATAATTCTTTCGTTCAATATTGAAGTAAAATAAAGGAAAAAACGAAATAATACCACAAAACATTCTGTTCAATATTTTCTTAACATTGTATATTAATAATTTACCTTTCTGACCTATTTCAAAGATTTTTGTCAAAAAGTGAGGTATGTTTGACATTAAACGTTCTAATTTAATGTTTTGATTTCTCGGTTTTGCTCTTAGTTCCTCGTTTCGAAATAATTTGTAAAAACAATGATTAATTTCTAGCACGGCATAATTTAATATTGAAATGTTATTTATATAAAAAAAAGAAATGAATACAAAATTAAAAGCTTTAAAAAAGAATAGCATCATTGTGCATACGAACAGATTTCAATAATATTAGTAATTGTACTGTATACACATGTCAAAGAAAGAAATCAGGTTGTTATTCACGACATTAAAGTTTAAGTTGTTAATTTTAACATTATTTATTGACAAATGATTGCCTCATGTTTTGTACAAAATTCTCTTTCCCTGTAACTTCCTTTTTTGTTCCTTACTGGGATCCAACTGTACCCTAAATTCTAGTTAAGTGTATACGACATTGATCATGCGTTCCAGTGCGCATGATGTAAAATTCCCATGAAAGTCCATCACTGTAGGTGAGCTTGGTATCTCACACAAATTCAGGAAATCGAGAAAGAAGGCGAGTGTAAGCCTTTCCTTCTTGCTTTTGTAACAGCTGAAATTCGACGTCGCGTCAACGGTATACAATTTCGAATCTCGACTGTCCAGGCATTTTTACTTTCTGACCTACGTATGCGTACACCATAAACGAAGTACAGAATAGACCTATCGTTTAATGAGATTTCGTAATACATGAATTAATATACAAACTTCGTAAAATATCAATGGTTTTAGAGCAATCTTTTCGTTTATAAAACGGTGGCTTTAGAAATTATAGTCAACCGAAGTGCCGACATCGGTAAAGCTAGCAAACTAGTAGAAAAATCTTTTCTCCCTAACGTAATGTACAGGGTTGCTATTATCAACAATTTTATCCGATATTTAAAGAAACTGTTTCAAATTCGCAGCCATTAGCTCGGTGTTACCCACGAAGAATAACTTTTCTATCGTGGGTAACACCGATTACCAGGTCTCACCACGTGGAGGTTGCTGCGAGTGGAGGCCCGAAAAGAGATATATGGAATCAAAGTTCCATCGATCTCCCTTTTACCTTCTTAGATTACTAAACTTAGGAGATACAAGGAATCGAAGTTCCGTCGATCTTCTCGTTTAGTTCTGTCTGGCAATTACTTTATCAAAGAAAACAAGGCATAATTGAGAGATACACAGGTCCTAAGATCGAATCGTTTGTCCGTTGGTAAGTCGATTCTATAGAAAAATGAGATCGCACCCCTGAAACTGATTCCTCGTTTAATTTAAAATGGTTACAATTATGCTACTTCGTTTAAATTAGCAGTACATACAAATGACATTTGAAAAATATGTTCGTAACTATTTAAATTAAATCTTTGCCTTTCATACTAATTGTTTTGGTGCAAACATTAGTTTGGGAGAACTTTAGGGCTTACTGGCACAAAATGAAAACGTTGTAAATAAACTTTTAATCTCGAAGAAAAATAAAATTGAAATTTTTTAATTTACCTTACCTTGTACCTAACCCAGTATTTATAAGTATTGTAAACTTTTATTATTTTTTGAACCTTCCACTAATATAATTTTAATTCATATCATGATTAGCATATTATTTAAAGCTAATGTATGTATAATTTGAAGGCAATCTAAATTAAAGATACACTATTTTTGTCATGAGTTTTACTTAAAAAGATAATATAATAGAAAATTCATCGAGATAATAATGAACAAGCAAGGTGAAAACGGTTAATGTTTTTGTTCAATGATGGGGTGTGCATAGAAAAGTGATAATAATTTCAAGATTTTATTGGTATGTTTTATGAAACACTCTGTAGAGAAGGAACTCAAAGCGAATTCCAATAATGTAGTATCAAAATGTGTTTTAATAAATATCAATAAAAAATACATTACACAAAATATCTACAATGATTACAAAGATCGATATAAAATTACATGTCTATGAATGGTGTCGCCATCCAAGACTAAATGTACAAGTAGCAACTGTCGTCGTCTCTAATCGCATTGTTAGTAATATCTATTGTAATTAATAAATATTATAATTATATTCTCCTCGTCGAGTCGTCGATACAAAAATATCCATAACATTTTCATTATTTAGATCTAAACGTCATGCATTTCCGAATAATATAAAGGATACGTAGTTTACTAATATACTGTTAAAGAAGAATTATTGTAACTGCATTAATATTGTATGATTCGTTGGAATTCAAGGAAGTGTCTCGTAAACAAGATTCAATAGTTAAATACTTGCATAGTAACAGAGATATGACAAGGCACTCTTAACAAGTCCACCCTTTCTTTATTTCTTATAAAATCTTATCCATGTTCAAAGTCAAGTCTCAAAAGGTACGTATATATAATACTTCCCCCATCAACCACTTGGCGTTTAATTCTTTTCTTTCCATTGGGCGTGCACTTGAATTTTAGGCACAGTACCGCTCATAATTTCTTTCAATACTTTTATACACTAGAAGCAATAAGTTAACTAGCTCTGAAGAAATCAAGTTTCAATATTTACAACAGCCACATCTAATATTAAATTGTATATTATCAGGGAAACTTGTTCAAGACCACAAAATTGTTGTGAGTAATAGATAATATATTTAAATATTCTTAATAACAACAAAAAGCACCATTGATAATAGGTCCTCGTTAACAATCTTTCAATAAATATCGAATCTCTGTTTTATAGTTTTACACCAGAATATTAAAAGATATATTCAAGTATAAAGTGATTGGCTCAAAATAATTGAAGCAAAATTAGAAATGCACTGTTTAAGTAACTATGAGCGATACTGCACACAAAAAGAGGAATTAAATTTTCTCCAAACTTTATGATTAAAACTAGGTTTGTCATTTCCTACACTGTAAAATAGTATAATAAAAGCAATATTAATTGCGTTTCACGATTATTTGTTTCATTTCGATATCATAGTTTGTAAATCGCGTAATTGTGACAAGAATAAAGGTCAAAAAGTAATATCATAAAGTTCAGATCAAATACGAATTTTACGATTGCGCCCTTAGAATTACATTATTTTAATACTTTCTTGTATTGTCGAAAAATATCGTATAAATATAACGAAAGGATCATAACGTCGTTACGGGATAAACTATTGTATTCGTTGGAATATGAGAGCACCATCGATTTGTATTGCAGCTGTTATGGGAATAACTTTCTACCACAAGTACTTGTATCAATTGCAGCGGTAAATATCCAAACAAATTAGGCATTGGGCGATTACAAAACTCTTGATACGTTTCAAACAATTATAAATAGCGTTGAGAAGATGTAAGTATTTCTACTGTAGCAAAAAATCATTTATAAAACATAAGGTAAATTTAATTTTTTTTCCCAACTATAATAATTTGGCCTAAAAAGAATAATTCCAAGAGATTCTATATCTTTTTCTAAGAGACATATTTCCACTATAAACATTATTACAATGTTGAGTAAGTTTATTCGCCAACGATTTTTAATAAATATTGTCTCAAGATTTTTTGAATCGCCCAATGTTTTACATATCTTAAACAAATGTTTACTTATGTCTTGTTTGAGTAAAATAAATACAACCTGTCTGTCGGGTTATAAAGGTTCCGAAAAAAAATGTGCAAAGAAAATTCATGAAGGTATTTTAGAATGTCTAGCGTCTATAAAAACAGTTAGCAGGCACCCCTACTTAAATTTGTTCAAACTTTTAGCAAGGAAGCTCGAGTTAGAAAAGCACTTTGTCTCTTACGTAAGTATACGGTTTCTTCGCTCTTGTATCTTTAAACGTCGTAAGTTTAAAATATCTCTAGTCTCCGCAAATGTACTTTTTACATACACATACAAAGTTCTCACAAATTTTATTCGGATGTCGATGTCCCAGGCAACTGTATAGCGATTACATTACTGTTACGCGCTAATACTGTTTTGTATAAAGTGTCAGCGTTCCTTATAAATAGATCGAATGAACTGTATAGTAAAAATTGTATGTATATTGATCGAGTTTAAATTTAAAAAACTGCGAAGAAGAAAACGGATCTCCGTATTTTGTACTAGAAACATAAGTAAACGTTCTCAGCGAATAGTCGCTTTTGTACACGATAGTAATTTAATAATAAAAAAAAAAAAAAGAAATCTTTTGAAAATAACGACACAGCGTGTGCACGAATTCAAATAAAATATAAAGTTACAATAATAAACTGTAAATTTTGAGATAACAATCTCGGTGGTATGCATTGCAGTATATTAATAGATCATTGGTATCGTCTTAGATCTTTTTTTTATAATACTATTACAAAAAAGATGAAAACACTTTGCCGTACTTTCATTTACTTTGGAGATCCGAAAAAAAGAAAATAAAATGGATCAGAATATACCATATATTAAATAATTAACAATTCCTACAGGATAAGATGAACACGATTAAATGTCTCAAGAATAAAACTTCTCGATATACTACTCGTTTAAGTGTCATCAATGACGTTCCAAAATGATCCACGTTTGCTCGTATTATCATTTCTAAAAATCATACAAGTCCACTTTGGCTCATTGACGAGCGGCTATATACGAACTGCGCCCCAAAATATCTCTTTTTCTTATCTTTATATTTTTTAAGCAAAAATGGCAGTGATTTTCAAACTGTGCATTCAGAAAATTTCTCAAATTTCTCAGTTTCTTCGTCCGAACTTCCGAATCGTATATCGAATTGATATAAAAATAAGAAGCTATTTGAATTCTACAAAGTGAACAATCAAGTTTATAATGAGCGTCGTATTTTCTGACGCGGCTGATTGGCCAACATTCATATTTGAAATGAAAAACGCTATTTCGACAGGAACTCACCATATTTTAAGAAACGAAAGAGTATAAATGGCTATGTAACAAAATGTAGCAAAATATAGGAATAGATCAACAGAATATTCATTGTTTATAACTGTTATAGACGTTGCCACAAATTGAACTTATTGATTCTGACGATTCAACTTTTTCTTGTACTTCGCCCAAAGTTCAACGAAACACCGAGGGCAAAGTGTACACAGTTTTAAATTATTGCTACAACCAATTAGACCAGGCACGTTAAACGCACGAACCCACTCTACGTGCGACCCCGCCATTAAATTTTGCGGTACATTCGTCCGTTCAACGTGCCCGAATTAGACGCATTCGACAGAATTAGGTTAGGTCGTCTCGACCCCGTCCTGTCGGTCGGGGGTCGATGCAGTCCCTAAGATATTTCGATCTTCGCGCGAAGACAAATGGATCAAACGAGAGCCTCGGTGTGATAATGATGATAGTGATGATGTATATGCTCGTGTACGTGTTTCCGACCCGAACTTGCTGCCGCGTTCTGCGAAAATTCTCGCTCCAGCCAGCGAACGACTTGGACCATGGCTCTGGCCTGGTCCTGTTCTCTCGTCGCGTGTTTCAGCTGATGCTTCTTACTAGACTTCTGCTGCGATTGACTGAACTGCGTTTCGTTACGCGGTGCATTGTGATTGCTCGTCGGAGCCGGATTGACCGGATGCTGCGTGTTCGGCAACAAGTTACCGGCGTTACGATTCGCGTTGCCCGTGGTTTGTTGGTCCGCGTAGGTGTTCGGACTGGTTACGGTCCGAGACAGGACCTGCGGCTGAACGTAAGCTCGAGGCGGTTGCGCCGTGGTGTTGTTCCTCTGCAACCCGTATTGCGGCCGTGTTTTCCGTAAATTCCCCCTGGATTTCGCCGGAACCTTGGAGAAAGACGTGAAACCCTGAAGCTTTTCCCGCGTGGGCTTCACGTACGCCATCGTTGGAGGCCGCGCTTCCGACGGTGAACGACAGTCTTGATTGTTATGGTGGGTCGATAGCTCGACGTGTGGAGTTTGAGATGGAATGCGCGATTGTTCGTTCTGATGCCGTTTCCTGGATGAGCAAATACATGAATTTTTTATACGATGAAAATTTTCGTTGAAAGAAGGTCACACAAGGTGTTCTCGGACTGTTTTATCGAACTTTGTAGTTGTACCGATAAAAATAATGTACAAACGTAGGTCTCGAAACTTTCCGAGTTACAATGTCAAAGTCGCTTGTTTAACAGCTTCGATGCCACGTAGATTGCATATGCCCCGTTACCGACTTTCTGTTCGCGTCATTTGATATTTTCAGTCGGTTCGGCACGTCAAAGTAGCGATAAATATTTTCTGTAGTATTTACAGAAAAATATTTCCCGCCAATTTGACGTACCATTACTTATAGCGCGAATCGGCCTTCGTCGTTGCCTTGTACCTAACTACGATTTATTGCACCATTCCGTTATCGTGTCCGAGCAATATCAAATGACGCTTCGAAGTTCGGAATTTTTCCGATTACGTGCAACGTGCAACGTTTAACGTGTGTGACTCGGAAAGGAAACATTCGTAGATTTACATTTATACAAAATGTTGTCTAGTCACGTTTGTCCAGACAATTTAGGAACACCTTGCGTAATTAAAAGTTATAATATCGATAGTCGAATTGAACTCAATTTTTCTAACTGTGAATCGCGTCAGATACGACTTCCGCTTTGACGCCATGTCTGTATGGTTCTCCGTTGGAGAGACAGAGAACGTGCGTTTGCAGCTTTACGCGATAGGCCAGAGATGGAGCAATGGGGATAGACAAATGGTATGGAAAAGAAGGTGTATAGCTCTTACAAGCTTCAGTGGCCTTGAGTGCCTGACGAAGTCGAGCGAAATATTTTATTCCAACTATAGAATATTATATAATTCGAATAACAGGTAATCGATTATACCATCACATAGCACTTTGTTACCCCATCGATCATATCTATTTTATTTATAATTAATATTGTGTCCTATTATTTTGTGCAACAAACTACACAAAATAAATACAATCATACAAGGAAGTCGTTGCTCTTTATTTTTCAATAGTATATTCCGTAATGTTGAAATATTTTGGGGTTTATGTGTTCGTTGTGAAATATTTCGTTCTATAATCGATATCTTTATTTTCATGTAACGAGTAAGGGATAAACAGTTGTTTATCTTTTATTCGTTATTCGACATTTTTATCTGAATATGAAACTTGCCCATCTCTGGTAGTTAATTGAGTTTGATTCAACTATACCTTGTTGAGGATATAAATACACACTATTGTCAGTAAGTTTGTAAGCATTTCTAATAAGTTCCTTTTGTAAATATTAAATAGAATTTCAAAATCATGAAGGATTTGTATACACTTCAACATGATGAAATTATCATTTGTACAACTTCGAAACGAGAATATTTATACGAATTATTTCCCATCTTGTCTATTTAACAACATTAGGGATACATTAGTTATGCTAAACAAACTGTACTATCCGAACGAAAGAATCAAATAAAATAACAATTCTCTTACGTTTATTTTGTAACGTTATTGCTTCAATTGTTCAACTGATCAATTATATGGTCTTTCTTTAGAAAAGAAGCAGACCAGAGAAAGAAGAACAAAGCGATTTTCCACGCATTTTAAACGCGAACAGCGTACCTTGACGTATGAAAACTGAGATTATTCTTTTCCATGTTCGCCTGAATAATTTCCAAGAGCTGTTGCCTTTGTAGGGCACCGCTGCGTTTTCGCTGATTAGTCATGAGGAGAGGCGTCAAGGGGGAAACTGCGGGGGAAACATCGCTGTCATCGCTAATATCACCCTCAGAGCTATTGGAATAGGGCGATGGTAAATGAGGTAAGGGCCCCACCCTTCTGCGTAATTCCTCCTGCTTTATTCGATTCGTTCGCGCGTTTTCACCACCGTCATCCTCGCTGTGAGTATCCACTTCCTTTTGTTCGTTCTAAACAAGAAATACGACGGACATTTTATCATTCGGCACGGTTTAATCGATCGGTAGTAAATTATTGAGCCGTTGCAGCCGGAAATACTCGCGAATTTCTCGATATAAAACTCATCGTAAAACATCGTACTTGAAGGGATATTAAACTGTAAAACGTATATTTTCAGGTCCTTTTTGATCATTATATTTATGAATGAAGCCGAATGCCAGTTTCCATACGAAAAATTCGGAATATTGACTTTGACAACATACGTTAAGATCATTGAAATTGGAGAGGAAAAAAAAAGTTAACCAACACGCTGTGAGTTATTTAAATAAACATCAATGGTTAATGTAATCTTTTCAGAGATATTAACGCGTACGTGTATGATTTATTTTCTGTATAACGATGCTCGGATAACTGCACTGAATTCGGGTCCACAGCTGTGCAGTAGGTAAGGGTAGTTCACGTTTTCATTCCAGGAATCGACCTTTCGTATCTCAGGCTGAGGCCCAGCCACGCGTAAACTATCCGACGAGGACAGCGAACGAGATACACCAAGGAACGAGCGCAACAGCGAGCGAGTCTCGTATTACACTCATTCGGTCGCCGAACTTCAAAGCGGCACCGCAAGCGTATCGGCAGACGGCCACTGATACAAACTAAAAACTTTTATTGCTAGTTGTATTTTTCACAAGAATATTATCAGTCGATCCGCGAGATTTTTCTGATAAAAATGAGTCGAAACACGATATTGTTCGAACATATTTTGAAATTGTACATAGACCGAGATTTCGATTATAATCGATATAATGGAATCTTAGCTTAAATACAAAATACGTTTGTACTTTTAATATACCGGATGATCGAGACCTTGGTGTACATGGATAATAAAAACTCTGGATAATTTAATTCCGGTTAGTCGAGGTCCTACTGTAGTTGTAAGCTTTTAAAAAATGACTCGAAGAACGTATAATTAAAAATAGTTTGAATACAATCGTGTTTTGTTTCATTTTAATCGAAATACCCTCGGCAATCCCTTGATGATACTGTCAAGGAGATACAATGAAAGTATAAAAGCTTTTAGTTAGCATTAGTGACTGTCACGCCGATACGCGGCATCTCTTTGAAGTTCGGTCAGCCAGGTTTTGTTTTCACAGCTGCCGGCTGCTCGAGTCGACGATCGCTCGAGCTGAAGAAACATGAACAGCGGTGGGGATAATTCCGGTGCAATTATCCGGGGTAAAATATGTGAAATTATCCGAGCAATACTGTATTGCAACATAAAAGCAACCAAATTGAGAATATATGTATATTCATAATCAAACTATTCAATGATTCAATTTTAATTTACATTTATTTCGCCTTTTGAATTCTGCAATTTCTTTTAATGTTTTTATTACGTTTTCCGTTATTAGGTCGACCAATCGTCTCTCAGTGATAACATTACCCACAATATTAATTGAAAGTAAATTATTATGATCAAACACGACGAAATTTGAAAAGACAGATAAAACAAGTATTTACATACACTTTCTTTATTATTTTCAAAATGTTTCTTAAATAGTTTTGATTACATTTTTACCAAATATTTAATTTACAGAAAACATCAGAGCACAGCAAGTACAAGAAACATCTCTGATAAATAAAACCGAGCGAACGTTCCTCAAATTTTTTTTCTCCTGGTGCGCCTAAAAGGAGGGGTCAACGTATCGACTAAACGTTATAATAATAGCCCCAGGGGCGATCCGGTACTAATTAAAAACGAATAAAATTTCTGCCCCGAAGCGATAAATCATCAAACCCAAAAATCGATAAATCCAATTTTAGCTTCTAGAATTGTCGAATTACGAGAGAGCGAGATAGGAAGTGAAGCGGGAAGGGTCCTCTCTCTATCCCTGCCCTGAACAAGAAAAAAAAAAAGGAAAAACGAAACTCGAAACTTGGACCGAGAGGAGCATCAATCTTACCTGGCAACGGTGCCGTGGCACTCTCCGCCTTCTAGGAACTCTGCGTAAACCGTGTGCGGCTGTGTGGGTCGCGGCATTGTTGCAGGACGCGTGCTTCAAATGGCAGCAGGACGAATTTCCGGAAAAGCTCGCCGCAGCCGGCTGAGAAGCGTTCGGACAGCCGGCTCGCGTCTGGCTGCCTCTCTGATCCGGTGACACCGTCAATTTCACCTTAATCGTCTTGCTGCCGCACGGAGGTACCTGGATGGAAGCGCCCAGGGTATCGTAAATGGTGGTGACCAAGCCAGCTATGTCGTCCTTTGTTATCTTCCCGTGGCCGTCAAAGTCGTACAGAGTGAACGAAAATTCTTGCCGCCTTCTGTCGCCCTCCGCCACCGACACGTCGCATTCGAATTCCTAAACGACAACGAACCGAGTTTAAAACGATAATAAATTAATCAATCTACAATTTAAATACGGTAGAACTTCAACGATGCAACGATATGATAAATGCACAGAAATATGCATTAAGAATTTCCTTTATAAGGATGTCCAATTTTTAAATTTCTTCTAGTTTCTCTGCATCTCTTAGATAGCATGCTTTTAAATGTACTCGTGCAAAGTTAATGGAGTATCTTTAGAATGTGGCTCACAGAGTAAATCTAGATAAGTTTTCTCTATCTATAGGCGGACTGAGAAAACAATCGATTTAGTACGGTGAGGGAAGCTCCATAAATAGGAGTGGTTACTTTCTGCTTTACCTTTAAGTACTCTCAAATACCTCGTGACAATATTGTAAACATTCGTAGGATTTTTCCTTGTATGTATTATTAATATTATCATCATTGTTATTATAATGTATTACTTTTGTCGAGTTAGCCTCTTCGTCTCTACCTGCACGCCAGATTGTGTTTGTATCGAACGCACACAGACGCAATAAGACTGTGACAGAACGAGGGAAGCTTTACTAAGCTCCGAAGCTTACGTCAAACAATACTGTTGCAACTGTTAAACGAATGTCATTTGACTAAGGCCGTACAAATACTTCTAAAGTACTATGTTGCTGAAGAATGATTGTTTTTACTACTAGAACTACCAAGCCCATAAAAATGACAAGTTACAGATATTTTTCTGTAAAATTATTGGCACCATACTGGAAGAAATGTAAGAATTTATAGTAACTTTTAACAAGTTATATTTTTTTATTTTCTCCTTTCAAATGTTTTAATTATTAATACCTAAATACACCAAGGCCAGTCATTCCGAACAATGAACATAATAATAGACAGTAAAATTTTCCTTCAACTGGTTATTTTGTTATTTATATCAAAGTTTCATTGCAGGATAATGGCCTGGATTTTCACACGAGTCTTCTTGGAGTGTATAGTTCGCGCCACGATATAGCAAGGTCGTAAACTCGAGTAGGTGTCAAAGTTTACACGTTTCAGCTCCCGGAACAAGTGAATTGACAGAAATACGAGCAGCTAAGGGCCTCAGATCATAGTCAGCGCCGTACGAAGAAATGTTTTATCTAGTGTCGCCATTTTTAGAAGCATTGTAACAGGTAAAGTTCTTACTCGAGTCTTTAATATCTTAATTTACCTGCTTATAATATATGCATGTAGAAAATGAAAAAAAGTAGTGCAGTTACGGGCACAGAAAGACATTCAAAAAGGCACCCTCAAGCAACATGTCATGTACGGCCCTAAGTGCCGCAGCAGTAGTCGGTCCCAACCCCGAAGAGTTTAGTTTACGACCTCGCTATATCGTGGCCCGGACTATAAAGCCCAAAGAAGACTAACCTTCGTGATACGCTCTAATCCGTAAAATCCGTCGTCCAATTAATACGTGATATTAATTGTAAACGGTAAAATAAAGCGGTGTTTTATGAAATTATTAACAGCAACGAATCGCGTTAATTATTATTATCTCCAGCTTCGCCAGCATTGAAGTCGGTATTTTCAGGATAAAGCAGCCGTCGAAAATTGTTGCGCTAACGGATGGAGGATTCTAAAAATTGAACGCGCCAGTCGTTGTGCAGGGGTCACGGTTTGCGACATATTGTTCCACGAATCAGGAGGCAGACAACGGTGCATTGAAACTATTCTATGAACGTGAATTCTATGCTTCGCAGCTATTCTACGAACACAAATTGTACGTTTGATTTTTAGTAAGTTTGTAAACGTACAATATCAAACTGTGTTATTCAACAAGATAGTCCAATTGCCTAGCTGATAAATAAGTCAACACATTGCCAACCGATTGGGGAGATTTCCATTTCCAAAAAACAGTTATTTATAAATTATTTCATTAGAAGAAATATTTGTTTAGTAAACATATAACCAATGAAATATTATTGAGTACATATTTTTAGAACCAGCTGGTAGCTTAGTTTTTGAACGCCGTACATTTGATTTACGAGAAATCAAGGAATATAAAAAGAGAATTGATTTATTTTATTTAGAGATTATATACACGGCTTAAAATATTAAATAGAATAATACTCGGATAACTACACCGAAATAGGAACCGCAGATGTGCAGTTAGTCAAGGTTGTTCACGTTTTCATTCCAGGAATCGACCTTTTGTGCCCAGTGCTAAGACCCAGCCGAGCGTGAACTGATCGACGAGGATAGCGAACGAGATATACAAAGAGTGAGTGCAACAATGAGTGAGTCTCTTATTACACGCGTTCGGTCGCCAAACTTCAAAGCAATACCGCGCGTGTATCGGTGCAACAGCCCCAAACGCAAACTAAAAACTTTTATCCTGCTCATTGTGTCTTTACAAGAGTACTATTAGAGGGTTGGTAAGGCTTTCCTTATTATAACAAGATCAAACGCCACTTTACTCGGACCATTTTTAATTTCCAAACCTTTATGAAAGATTCTTTGTATCATTCACTCTGAACTTTTACATAAAAATCAAATTATAACAGCAGATATTTATAATCAAAAACTTGGTCGTAAACAAGCAGTTTTAGTAGAAAAAAATTGCCATTGGTGAATCAGGATAGTAGAAAATGACATTACATATGGGATGGCCTAATAAATGAATTTTTAAGGGCGTCGTTTGCTTCGATCTTCAAACTCATGGTAGTTTCAGTTGCGTCATAAAATGTTTAAACAGTTGGGAGCCGTTCGAATTTGAAACGTTTTGTAGATTAAAATTAGCGTTCCCACTCGCTTCCTCGCGTAAAAGGATCTTCTAAGGAATTCGACACAGGAATGTGAAAGTAAAAGGTTCAGCCTTTAAAATGACTTCAGAAAGATTATTATACGATTTCTTTTCACCACGTTACGATGGTCTAAATATTAACAGCATTTAGGCCAAGTGTTCCAAAGTGTTCTGAAAAAGTGCTTTGCCTGTCGCGTTTAGAAAGAAAGCAGTCTGTTGCTGGTCGGTCACGATCGTTGAATACACATAACGTAATTATAAAACACTCCCATTGGTTGGATCTATCGACTATGTTGTACATTATTTTGTTAGAATTTAATAATACCTCGAAACTGAGTTGCTTCGTCGTACTAGCAGTCGGCTGCTCGTCATTTCCGGTCGCCGGCGTAGGGCTGGTCGAAGCGTCGACCGCGACCTGCGGAGCTTCCGTTTCTAGCAAAATTGGCTTGGGTTCCGGTGGCGAACCGTTACAAGGCGCCGAGACACCGGCAAGTAGTTCCTCCGAATCGCTGCCTTCCGTATTACCAACGACTGCAACAAAAACAATTATTTTAACCAGTCGCGTCGAATTAAAGATGGCTACCTTCCGTGTTTACTACGACTATAACCAATTTTTAAATGTAGCCATGATTTTTCAGGCACCTTCGACAATTTAATGGAAAAAAGTTTCGAACAAAAGTTAATCAATTCGTAGTCGACTACACACTGATTAACATTCACGTTCAAAAGTACACGAAGCATGTCCCGTGTGAATGTCTCTCGAAGTATCTCTGTGTGTTATCGACGTAATGGCGCAGTATTATCTTTTTTGTAATAAAATCGGAACCGGCAGATTTCATTCAGAGAAGTTTGGTTGAGATTTTGTTCTGGGAACTGGTTCAACTCCAACGAACCGCTCAAATGTGATTTTAATTGCATAGCTGCTCGGCCACTCGAGTTGGTGGTTATTGGAGCTGAAGAAACAAACAATGTTTATAACGCAAACTGGCGCAAGAAGCGATGCGGTAATGCACCTATAGATTAGCATCGGGAATGAGTGAGATATTTATACGGTGAGTCACGAAGTTATTAGCACAGGCAAGAAATGATAAGTTTCTTCGAGAGAGAGAAACGTTTCGATTTCGCAAAAATATATTTAAATTCATAGAAATTTAAGGAGACGTTGAAAACGACATGGTGCCGCAGGGTTAGATAATAATACCCTCGTAAAGATATCACGCGAGCTGCAAAAAATTTTAATTTGCATTTCTGCGACGCATCGCTTTGAAGCTTCGCACGCGGGATCAAATTATTAGCTACCGAACGCATAAACGTGCCTGGTCGTTGCGTTATTTTGCTAACAGTCGATGCTATCTCATTCACTTTTCTCGTCCATTTCACAATGAGAAACTTCAAATCGATCGATCACGAAGTTAGCGTTTTTTATCGTTCCACTTTGTCAATAGAAACAGGGCAAATTACCGTGACAGACGAAGTGTCAAAGGTAAAAAAAGAAAAAATTTGTAAACTAGCTTTTATTCTAGAAGCCAAAATAAGATGAAAATCAAGAATACCAATTTGTTGACAGAGGCTTCGTTAAAAAGTTATTAACAATTAAATTCAAAAATTTCAAATCGTTCTGGAAAAATTATTTTCGGTGACGGGGGTCAATTGCAATCATTTTTGGTGAATACACATACCTCCGAAATCCTATCCACTTTCGAGAAAAAAAATCCGGCAGGTGCTGAAATTTTTTGGTGAAAAAAAAATTGTTCCAATCGTTCTAAAAAAATTATATTTAGTTACAAGGATCAATTACAAGCATTTTTGGTGAATAGACATATCCTCGAAATCCTATCCATTTTCGAGAAAAAAATTCGAGAAACTATGAAATTTTTCGACGGAAAAAAAAAGTTTCAAATCATTTTGGAAAAATTATTTTCGGTTGCGGGGGTTAATCGCAATCATTTTTTGTGAAAAGACATACCTCCGAAATCCTACCCACTTTCTAGGAAAAAATTCGAGAAGATGTGAAATTTTTCGACGGAAAAAAATAATTTCAATCGTTTTGGAAAAATTATTTTCGGTAACGGTGGTCGATTACAATCATTTTTGGTGAATAGACATACCTCCGAAATCCTACCCACTTTCTAGGAAAAAATTCGAGAAGATGTGAAATTTTTCGACGGAAAAAAATAATTTCAATCGTTTTGGAAAAATTATTTTCGGTAACGGGGGTCAATTGCAATCATTTTTGGTGAATACGCATACTTCTGAAATCCTATCCACTTTCGAGAAAAAAAATCCGGTAGGTGCTGAAATTTTTTGGTGAAAAAAAATTGTTCAAATCGTTCTAAAAAAATTATATTTAGTTACAAGGATCAATTACAAGCATTTTTGGTGAATAGACATATCCTCGAAATCCTACCCACTTTCTAGGAAAAAATTCGAGAAGCTATGAAATTTTTCGACGGAAAAAAATAATTTCAAATCGTTTTGGAAAAATTATTTTCGGTAACGAGGGTCAATTGCAATCATTTTTGGTGAATAGACATACCCACAAAATCCTGCGCATTTTCGAGAAAAAAATTCAGTATAGGCGGAACTTTAAACGTTAATAACTTTTTAACGAAACCTTCGTCAACAAATTGGTATTCTTGATTTTCGTCTTATTATGGCCTCTAGAATCCCCCATTAAAATTTTTCCCAGGTGTGGCCGAACACCCTGTATTGTTTTTGTCAACAGATTCCAATTTACAAATAAAGCGTAAATGGAAGTTGGTTTGCGAATGAACCTAAAATTTTAATTCGTTATTCGTAAACGAAATACACCCGACTCTGCATGTATGCATGATGCTGCAGTGTACGTGTTTGATGAGACTGATCGTAACATGAAAAGTACAGAGGGAGAATATTAAAATGTAATGAACGTGATATGAAAGAAACAGAAGTTGCAGTTTCGTTATCTTCCCTTTTGTTCCCGGAACGTTTCTCAGTCGTTAGTAGTTTCGATTCTAGTCTGAGTTTCGCATCAAAGGGAAACGGATCTGTTGGCCGTGGCTGAGCGACATCATCTCTCGTAAACAAAAGTCGGGAGTTTCAAAGGTATCAAAGTAACATTCGTCCCGGTAAAGACTATATTTATAGTCGGTTTCTGAGTGCCGCTTGGTACTTAAGTCATGGCGAGCGGGAATTATTTCGGGACTATTTTGAAGGGGATGTAAGTTCGAAGGACTTGAAATAAACACAACAGATCACCAAACCGATCTCGAAGCACGTTTCCTATGCCTGTTCGAATTAGAAATACACAGTTCAGGGCTGATTCCTAAAGATAGCACATATTATACTTTGTCATATTTGGTACCATTAACCGAAGAAAATAAATATTTTAATATCTTTGAACATACTTGTACGGTTAGGGATAAAAGTAAATGTTTGCTTGTTAAATAAACGTTCCGTTTCGATAAGAATATCAATCTATCAAGATATAAGAGATATTGATAAGTGCTCTCTCAACTTCTTCTCTACTAATTTCGTATCATTTCTGAAGTCTCCGCCTCTTCGTCTTCCGTTTCACATGGCTACTGTATGTTTTAAAACTGGTTTCTAAGAATTTTAAATAGCTTTTTTTCTAGTTATATATCTTGCCAACATGTATGCAAAATAGTGGTGCAATCTTTGATGTATGTTTTTTAGAATTCTGTCGAACCGTTGGAATATTTTACAATTTTTAAAAATTTTGATTTGGTAAAAATTCCTATCTTGTTTCTTCTCATTATCCACTTCTAAAAAAAAAATACGCTACCCTGCGACGAGTACGTCATTGTTGGGTCCTGAATGCAACGAAACTCAACCGCGCCATTGCTGTGTCAATGCGGAAGGTAAATACGGAGTCGTTCGAAAATCTCTAAAACGAAAACCCTGTTCGAAAATCCGCCGAACCCGGCGAAACATTTGCAGGGAACGAATCAATGAACGCAGACGCGTTTAAACCCCTAAATTGCAGATAAAAGCGCCCTGTTTCATAATTACCGGCCGGATTCCCCGCATAAAAGCACAATCATCTTTAATGCATTCGCTCTGTAACTCGTACCAAAATTGTTCGCGCAGCGCGACCGAATGAATTAACGAGAGTGTACCGAAAGGGATCGGGACACGTCCATTTCCAACGTTTATTTCAGAAGCATCGCGGGGTACTCCCCGAGGATGTGCGATGCATGTATTCTTTAATGTGTCTGCATTAAGGCGCGTTTACCGTTACCTAGACACGACGTGTAAAAGCGCTCCTACGAAACGAAACATCGAAAAGGTGCCTTTACGACCGAACACAAAAGAACATCAACGAGACGCGATAAAACGCAAAAAACATAAACGCAAGATCCATGATGTTAACACGTTCGCTGCCAGATCAAAACCGTATAATATTCTGCGCAAGTAAAACTTTTATTTTAGACCATTTGTAAGCCACATAACCTAAAAATTTGTTTCGGTGCTTATTTTCGTGACCTTGTTAAAATTCACAAACTCTATTCAAATTTATTTCCTTCAACGTCTTAACTTGAGAATTAATCTTTCTAGTATTATAATTGTAAATCCTGTCGTTCATATACAGGATGTTCGACCACCCCTGGGAATAATTTTAATGGGAGATTCTGGGGGCCAAAATAAGACGAAAATCAAGAATACCAATTTGTTGATCGAGGCTTCGTTAAAAAGTTATTAACGTTTAAAGTTCCGTCTGTAAAATGGTAATCTGCGAACAGCTGCGCACGCGTAATAGTGGTTCTCATTCGCAAAACTGTGAGACTGTCGATACGTCAGTAAATAGAATTTCTCATGCTGAATGATAACCACTATCGCGCATACAGACGGAACTTTGAAAGTTAATATTCTTTTAACAAATAGGTATTCTTGATTTTCGTCTTATTTCGGCTCCCAGAATCTCCCATTAAAATTGTTCCCAGTTGTCGACGTGACAGTCAAAGTGTTAACCCTCCCCTCCCACTGGTTCGGTCGCGACGAATTCGTAAACATTTTCCAATCGACCGATCGATAACTGAGATCAACGAAACCGCAGATCTCTAGGCTACCGGTCAATAAACGCAGCGCGCGTAAAGTCTATTGACCGACAGCGGATAAATAAAGCGATAAGGAAATCGATTAAAAATTTACGAAATTTCCTTTGGAATTCCACGCTGTACGAATACTGTTTTACGTTGGTTGTGTACGCGCTGGGTCCCAAGGACCCCTTTGACGTAGTATTTACGGGTTAACCGAATATTCGACTCGCTTCGATTTGATAAAACAAGTTCCGCTCGACCCCGAGTTTCGAATGCTCGAATATTAAAAGCGCTCGAGAGCACCTTCTGCGCCGTTTCCCTCTGCGATCGCCGACAGGGTCCCCCCGTTCCCCCCCTTCACCGCCGGTCCAAACGCTTCGCCTTTATCTTAATTCGCGCGATACATCATTAAGTCCGTGCGGGGTGATTCCAGTAAAATATATACTTATAAACATCGGCATCAAAGGGACCGCGGAGCAACGATAATTAGCGATACGGAACGCGTAATAAACGAAGCCGGCCGCTAATTTCAATTATTCAAGGGAAAAGAAACGCGCGCGCGCAAAAAAAAAAAAAAAACCCCCGCAAAGAAGAGAAAAAGAGCGGATAATCGTATCTGCATAAAGAAACGGACGCATATCCGTGTATAATGATACCTGCCGTGTGGTAATTACGCCCGTAACTCTTTCGTGGGGTGAGCGTTAAAAACCCAAGACACCGAGCGCGCCGGGAGAGTAAAAAGGAAACGCAGAGAGGAGGGGGTACAGGAAGAGAATGAGAGAGCAAAGGTGTGATACCGGCATGCGCGCGCGCGCACGCGCGCTAGCGTGTGCGTACGCGTATAAAGGAAATGGTGTAAGAAGAGAAGAGAGAAAAGCGAGAAAGCGAGGAGAGAGGTGAAGATGGCACAGAGAGAAAGCACGGAGGAAGAGGAGCATAGAAGAGAGGTTGGTTTCTTTGCTTGATACCGGAGGAATAGAGAATGACCACGAAACGCCTTCCATCTAACCACCGGACTAATGTGTGTAACGAACTCGCAAGGTCTCGATAATTAAACTCCAACCCCCGGTACGTGAGTTTACGAGGGCGAGCGCGCATGATGCATATGCTATGGCTGTGCGTGCGTGTGAGTGTGTGCCGTACCGCTTTTGCGCCCTCTCGACGGAAAAGCAAAGGGGGAGCGGGACAAACGGCTTCTTCTTTGTAAATCACCCCTTTCTGTTTGCTCGCTCGTAACTTTTATCATTTGCCGGCGCAACAGCTTTCCCCCGTATGAAAATTTGCCCCGGTCGACAGCGCAATGAGAAAGCACCCATAAAGAGCGTAAGAGCGGAGATCAGACGAGTTTCAAGCCGGGATTCGCGCTTAAACGAGCAGGAATCGTTGAATAATTCGACGAGTCTCGTTGTCCGCGGTGGAACGTCGGCAGAAAAATTGCTACACTTCCGTGGTTATTTTTTTTCGTTATATCCCACGACCGGCTTCCTTTCGAAATTTTACAGAAACCATTTATCTTGTACATTCGTCGTACCCTTTTTTTCCTCAGTTTATTTGGAATTTTCATTCTGGAAAGAAATTTTTTTTTTTAAATCCGTTGTAAAATCATGTATCAAGTGCATTCGTCTCAGAAAACGTTAGTCTTTTACTGTCAGTACAGAGAAAAGGAAATAATTGTTCGAAACCAAAGATTATTACAAATTGTAATTTTTCGGTCCTCTTCGGTATAAATATTTATAAATCAGTTCGAATTAATAACTTTGTAACTGGTAAACCTTTATCTTTCGTTTAGGCCAAAATGTCAATTTATTATAATTGCAATTATCTTCTTTTTTAAGTATTACTTATGAAAATAACAAATGTCAATACTACAGAAAGCAAACCAATTGGAATAAAACTCTTGCAAAATTCAGCGTTATAGTACTGCTTTTAAAAATATTATGAATACTGTCATAAAATTGTATTTCATACAGTGTTAATTATTTTGAATAGTATATTTTATAAAATATATTGTTCCCTCAAATTCCAACGAATAGAAGTTAAAAGCACTACACCGACGATTAAAATCTAAAGGGATTAAAATATTTGGAATTCTGGACCGCAGCTAACTAGAAGAGCGTTTTATTTTTACACCTCCCCTTAGTGTTGACGCAGTACATCGCTATGTTTGATCCACCAAAGTAGCTTTGGAAGTATTAAAAATTACGCATTTGCACTTTAGCTACAAACTTATCGACCGAATAGAGATTTATCTCCGATATCCTTTTGGTCTTATGAAACGGTAAAATGATTGTTTCATCTTTCCTGTTATACCTACGGATATATGTGTTTCGCGTTGCGTAGTAGAATCTTGTTGCTTTTGTTTTCATAAAATATGCACGCTATCTGATCATTCACAGATACTGGGTAGCTCTAGCATATTAAAAGGCCGTTTCCGTGTAACTGTAAGGCAGTTATTTACTAACAGAATAGAGAAATTCTAATACAAGAATTAATTATATTAACATTTACGAAAGATGAAGCCGAATAATATAGATCGTTTAATTTGATTTCAAATATTTCATTGCAAATGGGGAATAAATTTTTGTAATTTCGTTAAGACGATAATAATAAATTAATCACAATTAACTAAGTCTGTCGATTCGCGCATTAAGGTATCCATTAAAATAGAGGAATAAATAATAATACTTTGAAGAAAATCATGCATTGTTTCGAAATGTTTTATGACAACGATACTTTCCTTCCTTGCGGTTTGGAAAATGAAAATATCTAGTAATTTAAAAGAGAAAAAAAACTATGTTAAAGCGTTGTAAACATCATTGTTTGGAGGATAAAAACAATGACGTACGTGGCCAGATAGATCGACCAGTAAGAAAAATGCAAGTGTGACGTAACACCACGTGGGATCCACTTCTGTCATACTGCAGCATCATCCAGGAACACGCACGGCGCGCCTCGCAGAGCTTGGGCAAAATATCACGCCTATAACCGGATTGTCCGGACAATCCGTATACGGGAGTATGTATCTCGATCTATCCGTACGCCGTGATTTCGACGCAAACATCGATACAGCATGTGCATATAAAAAAAAAAAAACAGGAAAATAAAGGAGACGAAAAAAAAGAAAAGAAAGACGGGGAGAAGGAGGGCAACGATAGAGAGAGACATTAGAGAAGCTTACCAGAAAAGGGTCTGTAGCCAGCGAGGAACCTTGCCCGCCACCACTTTACCAATCCGGTAGCCATGAGACCCTCATGCATCCACAAACGCTGCGCACACTTTCTTTCCAGGTTTCTTGTTCCGCTACTTTTCTTTATTTTCTTTTCGCTTTTACGTTTTGAAACCCTGTTCACCTGATTCGTACATTCGTCGATTACGTTGTACTATTTTCGCCGCGGTTTATATTCACGGTACACACCGTATCACTGCCAGAAACTGGAAAACAAACAACACTCCCGCGAACGTCATGCTCTCCTGGTGATACTCGTTCGACATCGGATGACACGTTACTCGGCGTGTGCGACACGTACGGATACGAATAAACACGTGTTCCACAGCAGCAGCAGCGGTTTGCCTGGGAGCGACCAGTCTGCGCCCAGTTCGCCTTACTTTCTATCTTCCATTTATCGTCGTTTCAAGGAAGGGACGAAACGTGCGTGTTCGCATGCTCGCCCCCCTGTCACCGAATTTAGTAATACGCACAGCTGTGGCCCCGGAACAAACACTCGATCAAATTTAATCCAGGTGGGAGCGTGAGGAATAGAAACGCGGCGGACGAGAAGGGTCGGTCGCACGACATCGCTCTCGACTCGTGGCCCGACTACGACTACGGACGATCGTTCTTGCCTAAACCACGTTCCCCGTACCCGTAATTCCCTTTCCCCTTCCATAGGGCGCTGCGTCGTCACAGTGCCGAGTCGTGGATACATGGGCCCTGAAGGTAGGAGGCGCGGCTCGAAACCTCCGATTCACGCTCTTTCTATCCGTCTCTCTTTTACCTCCCACCCTTCGCCGCTTTTTCGTCAATCTCTCTCTTTTCTTCCCCGTCGGCCGTTTCCTTTTCTCTCTCTACTCTCTCTAGCCTCGCCGACCGTCTCTCTCGTTCAACCTATCTTCTGTTCGCCGTAAATCCGTCTCTCTCCACCCCGTGTTTCTCGCCTTCCTCCTTCCCGACGATTCTATCCTATTCTCCTCGATCCTTCTTCCTTCTCGTCGCGTCTCGCTTTCCTCTTTTTCTATACGCCTTCACGAACTATCTTTTTCCTTCCTCCGCCCTTGCCTTCGCGCCCGTTTTGCCGTACTACCGCGCGTATACTTTCCTTTTCTCCTACTCTTCTCTCCTTCCTTTTTGTCCAGCGAAGGTCTATGAGAGCGCCGAAGAAGGACAGCTTCGCACGGCTGGTGGGGTTTTGAAGGAAGCCGATGATGGTTCAACGTGGTCTACGACGACACTAAATGTCGGCGCTGCGATGTCGATGGCATGTGTAAGAAGGAAGAATCGGGCTCCGGAGGATTTCGATTGTCGCGGCCGCAAACAAACCGTGGCTGGATTTTTGCCCCGATCGCGAGGACGTTGCCCCGATTCGCTTTCAGAGAAAGTCGCTTTTAAGTATTCGGAAAAACGGGGCTTCTTCTGAAAGGAACCGACGACGAATCGTCGCCCCCCGGAGCAAAATCATCGCTTCGACGAAATCGTTGCTGGAATCCTGTAATTCGTCGGAATGATACACGATCGACTACTGGTATCGTCCATTACGGCAAACTCAAAACATCGAATGACTCGAATCGTTCGTCTTGATTTTTTTTTTTTAGGTTAATGGTTACGCTTTGTTTTTATACTTCTGTACATTTATTGATAAAAAATAATCTGCACATCCGATTCATATTGTATTAGGTAAATTATTTCATATAATAACAAAAAGATAGAATTAGAAATATTAAGCAGATCCAAATTAATCTCGGGTTTGTTTAATTTGTTCGTTTTGTTGTACAACAATTAAAAACTGACTTTAATAACTAATGCACGGTAATTTTAAAAAGTATTATCCTGCAAAATAAATTTGTTAACAGCTGGCTGAATCCGGGTGTTCAAATATTCCTATACTTACGAAAATAATTTGCTGTTACGTATCCGCTTAAAATGTTTCCGGAGAAAACATTTAAAGACGAGAGTCCGCACTTCCTAAACGTTCTGCTATTTGTTTTTTTCATTTATTCAAGGTTAACGTACGTAAGTGTGGTGATATAGTGGAATAAATGAGAAATACTCTTTTTGGTGACTGTACCCGCACGCTATTATCTCCTAGCGGTGTTTCAGAAGAAACATTGGTGTCGCCTTTGACAATGTAATGAATGAACTTTAACGAAAATCACTTTGTCATTTATACCAGCGATGCAACGGTCATCTTTTTTGCATTTTGTTGAACAAACAAAACACGTTTTTTATTAACGTCTGCATTCGATTATTTACCCACGAAAATCAAGAAATATCATTTCTATTAATTTTTCAACGACGTACGAACAATCGTACCAATCTGTAAGCATAATGATTATACCGTCGTAAGAATTCAAACGAACTAATAGCAATTAATAAGAGAACTTAAGCACGGTATATTTTTGTTTGTTTGTATAAAATTCCGTGGTTTTGAATAGAAGATACACCAATGGCGAAAAATAGGAGTAATTAAAACAGATTGCCGCCAAACGATTTTTAAAGCGTACGGTGCGTGGGTACAGTAAGACCAAAAAGAAGGAAATAATAGTCGGTCCAGTGTCCCCCGAGTGTCTACGCCGTTGGTTCGGCAAGTACCCCCTTGCTCTCCCTGTACGGAAAGTCTCTACCCACCATGCCACGCTATGCCGTGCTGTGCTACGGTTTGCCGTGCCATCCTCAACCGCGTAGCGTGGCTAGTTGTTTCTTTTCTTTATTCCTTTGTCGGAAAGTCGGTGGCGAGTCTCGTTTTTAAGAGAAGAGTAGAGGGGAGGAGGCAAAAGGAAAACGACAACCGCTCAGCAGGGGCTGTGGAAGGAATGGTCGGGTCCGTGGCAGGGGGAAGAGAGGGAGGGCCACGCAGCAAAGAGAATAAAACGTACGGTTCAAAAACTCAGTACAGACTAACCTCGAAATAAAGCCGACAACGTGGTCGGGAAACCGAGGCATATCTATTAATAATGAACTGTTTTCAGTTAAGTCTTCCTATCGTCTGGAGTACCGGATTGCTCTTCCAGACGCGACACGCGGCTTTTACATGGCTCCCGCATGAAACCGTCCAACGCCGTACGTCCCGGCCGTTCGGTTTCTGTTATTATGTAATGTTACGCGCGAATAGCGCGCGTATTCGTCCACCGCTAAGAATGTTGTTGGACTATTAAGAAAATTGCCTTCTTGTGCCGGTAAAATAAGAAACGTCGTGGATTCTTCCGAGCATTCCTCAATGCACTTCAAAACTTAATCGATCGGTAAGCGTAAATTTTGCTACGTGTCCCGTTTAGCAGTCACCGACACTACCAACTTTCTCGATGCAGGGAATTAACCAGAGTTTTGTACAATAATTGCTTACTCTACGATTGCTTTTGTAATCGAGACGAAGAAGCAGTCGAGTAATCGTCGCTAAGATTTAGGTTAGGACGACGACGCATAATGGGGCAATTGCACGTCAAACGTGAAAAGAGGTTAGTTTAAATTAATATCTTCGTTACGAATCGAATAGACACCCCATGAATCGTAAGCGATAAAGTCATTCGTTTTGTTATTATTTTGCAGACCATTTCTACACGAATAAAGTAAATATTGCTTTCCCTAGTTTTCCGCTGCTGCCGTGAGTCACGATGTCTCAATTTTCGCTATCACACAACCCCTCAATTTGGGTGGAACTTTGTCCCTCAAACGTCAGACTAATGGCGATAGTAATCTTGACGCGATACCACGTTCACGATGTTTGTGTTGAATTTTGCAGTATCTGTTGTAGTCACGGAGTTATCGGTACAGCAATCATTAGCAAACAGCGCCATAATTCCTATTATTACTAAATGTCTCTACTTTTGGTAAACACTTTTGTAAAGCGACGTTTGACCGTTGATGACGACGCTGTACTTTCTGCTGCCATAAATGTATCGCAAAACGAGATACATATCAGAACTAGGTCATTATCATCGCATCAATTAGCACCGAACGTGCAAGGGGAAATGCACGGGTATGAAAATGTTCGTTGATGACTGAAATACGTTCGACGATTACGTCGTGTCGGATCCAACAGTTAAAAATTAATTACTAATTGTGCGCAACAGACACAGTTGTTCTGTTTGTTTCTTTCTTTTATTTAACAATTTCATATCGAGCAATCGGTTTAGTTTTAAACTTAAAAAGAATGCGTACAATCAAAATAGGTGTATTATGAAGTATACTAAATTTCACAAATTTTTTATAACAGTCTGCCTACTTTTGTAACGAGTTTATATGTATACTAGCAGCTGTTCCTCATGACTGAATTCCATGGGACCATGGAGGCTTGATTATATCTTTTTGAACCGAGAGTTTGTTTTCTGCTTTATGGGTACAGTGTTAATTTATTGATGAGTATATATTTTTCCATTTTTTTGTTGGTATTTCGAATGATCCGAGAAGTTTAGATTTTAGAAAAATCTTAGTAACGCGTATCATTTGGGAACGTTCGATGTCCCTTATGGGCCATCGCAAGAAAAAGGGGAAAAGAGGGGAGGAAGCGAGGAAAGCAAAAAATAAGAGTGGGTCCACGACCGGATCTTATAATTACGCTAATTAGGCAGTAACGCGTAAAAAGAGCGGGGCGAGTATTTATCGCAAGATACCGTCGAAGGTACGGAGGTCGGCGAAGGAGGACACCGTACGACAGGATACGACAGGAAAGGCTATAATACAGTTTTGCCGCGAGCAGCAGAAGCAACAGCGGCAGGCAGCGGTAAGCAAGCGAGCAGCGAAAGCAAACGTCGAGAAGTAGGCAATTCTGACGTCGGTTTCTCCTCTAAACTCGCTTCACGTCCAACAGATGTCTAATTTAAAGAAAATCCCAGGAATATTTAATCTTGTTTTATCTATCAAACGAGAAATTATTATCCGAGTATTTGCACGTTAACGAATCGATTAATAGTAAACAAGTAACTGACATTCTTTAAAACTTTTAATAAAGGATAGTAAAAGTAAACAAAGGAGTTAAACAGTCGAATATCGACGCATTTGTTTTATTGGTATCTCCGTCCAGGGATCTTTCGGTATCGCGACCTTTCTAACGTCATCTCGACAATTTAACACGTCGTGGTTACGGCATCCTCGAAAATTTATGAATACCGAGGAACGCTCGAAGGGTCCCTACACCCGTGAAATTAGTTTTGCGTCTCCTTCGCGCGTACCCTAACCCGTTCATTGGCGGTCGGGTTAGCCGTGGATTCGTTCGGGGAAAATGATCGTTATCGGCATTTCCCGTTCTATTTTTCCGCGACGGTCGATCAGCGACCGACAGACCCGAACTGAACGTGTGTGGTTGCTACCCGTCAGAGATTTTTCTCTCATCAGGCCAGAACAGCCCGGGACTGAGCGTTTATGGGTACCTTTGCTGGACGGATTCGTCGGAAGGGGAAGCCGCGCGGGACTGGAGGGACGGGGAGGGTGTAAGAGAGAGCCCCGACTGGATTACGGGCCGAGCTGTGCCGCGGCGGGGGCGGGGGGGAAGGAGGAAGCGGTCGGCGCGTTTGATCTCGGCCGCGGGCGCCGACAAAGCGTTCATC